GTGTCGATCACCTCAAGCAAGAGCAGAGCAACCGCAGAGCAATATTCGGGCAGCGTGTGATGGTTTCATTGGTCGTTTGAAGGCCATAATTCGTGACAAAGGTGACCAATTCGAACAAATCTAAACTTTTTCTAAAATTTGATGCTATTTCCGACATTTTTTGCTTTCATTCAATAAAATTAAAAAAAAAATTAAAAATTATGGCGTTTGACTTTGTTGCAGTTTTTTTTTTTTATTCCACCCTGTATACTCTTAGACTTTTGCTATATTCACTTGGAATGAAAATTGAATTGGAAATATTGAATACGCAGTAGAAGAAATTTTCATGTTTTTGAATAACTTTTAAAGAAAATTTTCAATCTTTAAAGTATGTAAATTTTCACCAAAATCTCTCAGCTCATATGAAGAAATTCCAATATAAATATTTCAAATCGAAGCAGTTAACAAATTACTTTTCGATCTTCTTTCCGTTTGCAATTTCAATGTCACTGTGTGTTGTCTGCATTTTTTTTCTTCGTCTCCTTCCTTGTCATTTTCATAAATAAATATATTTTTAATTTCTCTTTATTGATTTTATAAACATTCCACAGTAGGTCAATATGTCAATGTTCCATTCGTGCATTGATCATTAGTCAGCAAAAATAGTGGAAAGGGGAGAAGATCACATAAAAATAAAAAAAAATAAAATAAAAAAATCCCCAAGAAAAATTTGCAACTCTTGTTTTAAAAATAGCAATCCGATATGTAACAGATTTCCTAATTGACATAATTAGAAGTACAACAAAGTATACAAAACAAATTTTGAATTAATTCAAAATTTTATGTCGTTAGTCTGAAACAACAAATTAACAAAAAAAAAACCCAAACTCGTTTTGGCTGCCCTTTGAACTGCAATTTTGGATGTTTTCAAAATTGATTTGTGATTTAATATAAACGACTTAATGATGATACATAAATGGAATCATTTTGGTTATTTTACAAAATATATAGATAAAAAAATTATTTTATAATTTAAGTCAAAAAATCGAATGATAAATACAAAATTTAATTGATCAATTTCTTTCTTTGTGTGTTAAAAATAGAAACCGAAACAATTGAGTGAATTTTTTAAATTATCAATTTTTACAACCTTTATAGTTGGTAGATTCTAAGACATGGACCTGGCTTATGTGGGTAATATGAAAGCACAAACAATTTACGTCCAATACGCCGTAAGCCCGAAAATCATCTACGTCTTTTCAAAAATTCTTAAAAAAATCAGGGTTTTTTGTCGTAAGTAAATATACATAAAATTTTAGTCTCAAGCGCTTTTTGTGCCAAATCTACCATTTTTTTCAGAATGTATATGAAAAATATTCTCAAAAAAATTGGGTCTGAAGTCCTTTAAAAACTGCTCAACAAATCTACAAATTTTAAAAAGAAGTCCTTGGAAAAATCTTTGGTTTAAAAGATTTTTGAAAAAGAATTATGATTGAAGTATTTTCAAAATTCTTTAAAAAATCAGTAGTTTCTTTAAAAAAATAAAATGTTGTAAATATTTTTGAAAAATCTACTGGCCAGGAGGTTAATTTAAAATAAGTTCTTAAAAAAAAACAAATTACTCTACAATTTAAGCAAAAAATTTCAAAAATATTTTTGACAAACTCTAATTTCTTATCCAGGAAATCTTTGTGCAAAATATTGAATTTAAAATATTTTTATTTTTTCTTAAAATATATAAATAAAATAAAAAAATCGCCAGGAGGGTCTTAATTATTTTTAAACAACAATTATTTTTAAATCTTGTTTTAAAAATGTTTTGTATTTTTTTAAATCCACAATAGTTGCATTTTTGTCAATCCACGATATTTGCATTTTTTTAATTCACAATTTTTTTAAGTTCAAGATTTTTGCAGTTTTTTTTTTTTAAATCCACATTTTTTTTTATCTTTTGTAATTTAAAAAATTTACGATTTTTTTAAAAAACGTTATTTTTGGCAATAAAATATATTAAAAACGATTTTATTAAAAATATTTTACGAATCCACAATTTTAATAAAAATATTTTACGAATCCACAATTTTTATAAAAATTATTTTAGAATCCACAATTTTTATAAAAATGTTTTTAGAATCCACAATTTTTATAAAAATATTTTAAGAATCCACAATTTTTAAAAAAAAATTATTTTTAGATTCCACAATTTTTATAAAAATGTTTTTAGAATCCACAATTTTTATAAAAATGTTTTAAAAATCCATGATTTTTGTATTGTTTTTTATATCCAATTTATTTAACCAATAACTTTTTGATTCTAGATTTGTGTAATTTTTTTTTCTAAAAATATTTTTAGAAAATCTACGATTATTGGACAAGAAGTCCTTAAAAAGTATTTTCAAAAATATACGATTCTATGCAAATATTTTTAAATTTTCGATTCTCTTCCTGGATTTGTATCAAAAATTATTATTTTTTTTAATTTAACATTGTTGGCCAGAAAACAATTTTTAAAAAGTCATGTGCAAATTCTTAAAAAAAAATCCAAGTTAGAATTTAGAAAAAATGGCAAGTCTTTGACATAAATTTAAAAAAATCCAACATTTTTAGTTACAGAAAATCCCTGAAAATTTTTTTCTTTGAAAGCAATTATTTGAAACATTTTTTGGTCACAAAATTCTATAAGAAAATATTCTTAAAAAAATCAAGATTTTTTGTTGAAATAAAAATATTTTTAGAAAATATTAAAAAAAAAAACAATTTATATTTTTGAAGATTTTGTAAAAAAAATTTAAAAAATATCCCTGTCAAGGAATTCCTGGAAAAAAAATGAAAATAACCCATGCTTCAAGAAAATCATACTTCGTAAAGTGTATAAGGGCTTAAAAGGAATCCTTGGATTTTTTTATTAGCCCAATGTTGTTTGCATTGAAAAATATAAAAATTTTACCGGAAACTCAGGAATTCATTAGAAAATATTTCCAAATAATATTCTTAAAAATATCCACTATTAATTCTTGAATTTGAATTGCGAACTAATCCGGAAAAGAATTTTAAAAACCACGCGATATATTGTTTGGAAATCCTTCGGAAATAATCTTGAAAAAAATCCTTTACATTTTTTCTCGAAAAAAATCAATATTATTGTTGAAAACTAATGCAATATTTGGACATGACGTAAAAAAAAAATTGTTTGGAAGTCCTTCGGAAAAATCTTAAAAAACCAACCTGTTTTCAATATTGTAGTTTAAAATGAATGTAATATTTGGCATGACGTAATAATGTAATATTTTTTAAAAAAAGTAAAAATATTTTGGAAATCTTGGCAAAACTCGTTAAAACTCTTGATCAGCAAGTCCTTGCCAGTTTTCTTGTAGAAAATTTCTAATATAGATTGGAATGTCATTGCCAGAATATCTTCAAAGAAGTGTACAATTATCAGTCAGGAAGATTTTCCAATTTCCAGTCAGTTCCAATTGTTAACTCTTCTCTAAAAATATTCAATTTAGATACACTTTTTGGTATAGTATAACAGTACCTTTTGATTCGGTATTTTATAAGTTTCTGTCCAAATTAATTACTTAATTGGGGGTAGATTTACTTCTCTCAAAAGATAAAAGATCCAATTTTTGGTATAGCCACCCCATATAATGGTACGTTTTGATTCCTGGTATGTCGGAGGCTTTGGTCCCAATTTCCAAGCATTTCCAACAAACTTGATGTGACATTTTGGTTTTTAAGGGGTTGGTTAAATTTCTCGCATATAAGGGAATCCAAAATTAACGCGACTTTGAGAATAGTCGATTTGGCCATAAGTCACGTTTTCACATGGAGGGGGGTATGAAAATTTGGAACTGGACGAATTTAAGGTATGTTTTATTTACTTATTTATTATTATTATTTATTTAATTTTTTTTTTTTTTTTTTTGGTAAGGATTTCCAGTTTTCCCTGATCTATAGTTGAGTGGAAAACCTTTAAATCACCCTGACAACCTTTTCTAACTAAGAGACTTTTGTTTAGATCTTCAAATTATGAACAAGTCCTTCGGGTCTTTTGTGGACATACAATTTTCTTTTTTTTTTTTATTGACATTGGCAATATTAAAAAAGTAGTAACTTTGCTGACCCACCCTGTGCGGTATTACTTCCAGACCCATTTACATTATTTTGAATATTTTGGGTTTTACTTTTTTGTCACACTAAAAAAGTGGGGTTCATTGAACGTTTTTGTTTTTTGGATTTCCTTTTCTTTTTTTCAACTCTTCTGCATTTTTTCCTTTCTTGAATTTTTTTTACTACAAAGAAATAAGGAAAAAGCGAAAATGACACTAATTATTTCCCTATGCGACAATTATAGTACACATAGTTATTTATGATTCATTTTGTGTGAGTGTGTGTGAGAAGAACAATAGCCGAAATAAAAAATAAAATAATGCAGCGAGGGGATGAAAAAATATTTGACCATTTGTTGGTGTTGTTGTTGGAAAAACAAAGGCTTATTTTATTATTTTCAATGTCTGTGGTTGTCTTAAAGGTCCTGGCAATGCGCAGGTCTCTGCTCGTTTTGAGGGAACCCTTAAAAATTGCCTTGTCCTTCCCACCTCCCCCCTAAATTTGAGCTGTCTTAGACCCCAACCTTAGACACTAGCTAACAAATGATGACACTAGAAAAATCAAGCTCTTCGTTTTTGTTTTTTTTTTTCTTTGGCTTTTTTTCGTTTTGCTGACACAAATAAAAAAGGAACATGTGCTTTGTTGCTGTTGTTGTTGTTGATGTTCTTTAGGATTCTCACTTTTTGTTTTTGGAAAAATATTCAAATACATGTATGGCATACATACTACCACATAAAGTACTTTGTTCGTTTGTGTGAGTTTTGTTAAAGGCGACTTGGTTACGAAACCAAAAAAAGAAATCGATATTACTTTCAAGCGATACCCATGTCCTTTTGGCCCACCTCAGCCAAGTACGTCATTGCTTTTGGGGGAAAATTTCGATTTTTTTCAAATTTGGTCTTCCAACTTACCAATAATAGGCAATATTATCACCCAATCCATTGCGTATATTACGATCCAGCAGATTATAGCATATATTTGTGGAGGCTCCCTCCATCCATTTGATGGAAATGGGTCCTTTGCTAATATCGAAATTATATTGCAAGAATTTCTTGGGTTCAGCTGGGGTCTCCCAGTGGAATTGTTTGGCCACACGAGACCAGAATTCCTCGGGATTTTCTATGGACTCATCGTAGAATTTTTTGTACTCCTCCATGCTGGATATGTAGGCATTTTTGCTAATGGCCGGATTTGGATAATACAGTCCTTTATCCACTGGCATTTTGATTTCTGTTTTTTTTTTATTTTCTTTTATTAACTTATGACCTTTTGGAAAAGTAAATATCCTTTCAGTTTTTTTCAACAATTTGTGGTCATTGATTCAATTTTTTTTAATATTCTTTTAAATCTCTTTGTTATTATTTTATGTTAATTTTTTTTCACTTCTTTTTCAAATTTTTTTAAAAAGTGTTTAGTTTCCTTCCGTTTGTTCTCTGTGTTGTGTTGCGTTGCAGACTAGAAACCCAAACACCTCTAGACGGTATGAACGACACTCGTATACTGAAATCGTTGCCAACGAACCCTAAAATACCTCTCACAGTTTATCTGTGCGAAACTTTGCTTGTTGTTGCCTACGCAAAGCTTTTTTCTATTCGATTTCTCAGTGCTCTGTGCAAATGGAGCTTTTGTTGGGAATTTTCAAAGAATTTAAGGGAGGAAATTTTGCAAAACCATTATGAACATAATTCTCTCATACGCGATATGCGTAATTTCAGTAATGTCCCACCCAAGTGGCACAGGTATGTGTTTTTTATAGAGACTCTTATAAAGTGGCTGTGGAAATCGCTAATTGTTGCCTCGTAAATAATCTTGGGAACTGATGTCTACTGGAAGGTGTTCGGGTTTCTGTCGACTCGAAGGTAATCGGATGAATTCTTCTCGGTTCCGTAGTATTAAATTTACTGCCGTCTAGAAGGGAGTCGGATGAACTCCACTCTGCTCAACAATTTCTTGGTTTTGATAAACATCTCATTGCCTGTGAGCCGACAAGACCCTCGTCTAGAAGTATTTAGGTTGAGAATTTCACTCGGTTCGGCAGTATTAACCTTGCAGTCGGGAGTCGGGTTAACTCCACTCTGCTCGTAATTCCTTGGAATATTTTCAGGTCGTCCACAGTTTAATCAATTGCTTCCGAGCCGATGTTCTTCTTCCTCTGAGGAGAGAGTAATTTTTATTTCCGAACTGATAGCAAATCAGATGAGATAAACATCTCATTGCCTGTGAGCTGACAAGACCCTCGTCTGGAAGTATTTGCATTTAGATCGGTTCGGAAATAATCCATTTAATTTCTTTCGGGTTTGAAACATCTGATTTGCTATCAGCTCGGAAGTTAATATTGCTCTCGCCTCAGAGGGAAACGGACATCGGCTCGGAAGCAATTGGATAAACTTTGGTCCACCCAAAAAATATTCTTGTTATTTTCTGCTCGAAAGAAATTTCTCGGCTCTAAAGTAATTGGATAATTTGCTCTCAAGTCGTAAGAATTGAGATTGCTCTTGGCTAGGAGGTAGTCGGGTGAACCTCACTCTGCTCGGAAATATTTGGAATAGTGTCACCTCGGAGGATGTATTCGAGTTGATACCGGCTCGAAACATCACGTTTGCAATCGATTCAGGTGAATTATCTTCAATTGCGCTCGGTTCGGAGGAAGCCGGCAATTGGAAGCATTGTCTCGTAAGAATTGTGATTGCTCTTGGCTAGGAGGTAGTCGGGTGAATTTCACTCTGCTCGGAAATATTCGGATTATTGTCACCTCGGAGGATGCAGTGGAGTTGATACCGGCTCGAAACATCTCGTTTGCAATCGATTCAGGTGAATTATCCTCAATTGCGCTCGGCTCGGAGGAAGCCGGCAATTGGAAGCATTGTAATAAACAGTTGTCCAGCCGGAAAAAAATCGCGTTTTTGAGGGTCCAGAAGTAATCAGATAATTTTCTTTGATTCGCAGGTAATTGGGTAAATTGTTCGGCTCGGCTCAAAGACGGGAAAAGCTCTAATCTGCTCGGAAATAATTTAAACTAACCTCGTTCCGAATTATTATTATGCTTGATAAAGGCTCAGAAGTAATCGGGAGAATGTAAAGTATGCGGGTTGCTGTATGCTCCAAGAAATCTTATGAGTGCCCCCACTTCCAAAGTGTTGTGGAAACTCCGAAATAATCGAGTGAACTTCTCTCTGTGAACGGAATTATTTGTGATGCTGTCAGAGGAGACAATCGAATTAAGTTGGTCTTAATTCGCGTGTATTTGAGTCGTCTGAGTTACTCTGCTTGGAAGTATTCGGGAGTTGTCGGGTCGACAAAAAAAATTATTATATTATTCTAATTATTTTTAGAGAAGTTCCCTTGATTAGAAATATTTTGGTTTGCTGTCGGAAATCGATTGAATTCCTCTCTACTCAAAGGTATTGGTGTATATTTTTGTGTCCACTCGGTAGTAATTGTTGAGTCGATTACTGAAATCACCTCTCAGCAGTAGTTGAATAGATGTCCTAGGTAATCAGAAGAAGAACTCCAATATTAGGTTGCATTTGGCACGTAAGAAGCCGGGAGAATTGCAGTTGTTCATGGCTCGAAAGTATTCGGATGATACTCATCCCACTTATAAATATTCGAATTGTTATTGGACTCGGCTCAGAAGTATCCGGAATATTTTCGGTTCTAAAGAAATCGAGTACTGCGTTTTCTGTTCATAAGCATTGGGATCAATAGTAACCGTGTGAACCGCTCTCAGCTTGACATTATTCCTGTTATTGTTGACCACAAAGTAATCGGATGAATTACTGCCAACTCGGAAATATTTCGATTATTTCGTGTTGGTAGAGAATTACTGTTGATTGGGAAGTATTCAAATTGACATTGAATTAGATAAGTGACGCAACAGTTTGAAGTTTGATAGGAACCTATTGGGAGCTGTAAACGTGTAAAGTTCATTGAAATTTCAGAGCCTTGCTAAGCGCGAGCGGTTGATATAATAGTGTTTGCTATTAGCATAATGGGTTCTAGTTCCGTTGGCTAACCATTGTATGTATAGGTCCAAGTTTTTGTATAGCCCCCATATAACAGTGCCTCCCGATATTCGGTATTTTGATAAATTTTAAAACATTTTTCCACGGATTTGTCTAAAAATTGGTATTTGTAGATCATATTGGATTCTAGCTATGATGTCAAAACCTTATATGTATGGGTCCAGGTTTTGGTGTAGCCCCCATATAATGGTACCACCCGATATTCAGGGTTTTAATGATTTCGCCATAGTTTCCTACGGATTTGTCTTAAAATTGATATTTTTAGTTCCTAATGGGTTCTCGCTCCGGTGGCCGGACATTGAATATTTAGGTCCACGTTTTCCCACTGATACTCGGTATTTCGATAATCCATCCACATTTACCCACGAAACTGTTTCAAATGTTGTATTTAAGAAGATTTAGTAGATGGCAATCCTTGAAGTATAAAATTGTCTATGGAGGTTCCCCTTTTGATATGGCCCTCACATAACGGACTCATCCACTTTATTGTTTCTTTGAAAGGTTTAACAGCATTATCCAAACGGTCTTACTGGTATTTGTAGTTTATAGTGGAACACATTTGAATTCAGATACTTTTATATAAAAAAGTTTTTTTTACCCAATGGTGAAGGGTATTAGTTCGGCCCGGCTGAACTTAATGTCTTTTTCATGTTCTCTATTAATATATATTTTCCTTTTTCTTTTTAGCCACTGTTCCTGATTTTAATTAACGCCTTAAGGTATGCTATTATTTTAAATAAATTAGAAATTAAAATACTTAACCGCTTACATTTTATTTATTTATAATTTTTTTTATTTGACAAAATTTTACATACAAATGTTAAGATCTTAATTTTGGCAAGTTGTCCTTCAAAATTATCTTTAGGATGAAAAAATCATAAGCCCTTTTGCATAAACCAACAGATGGTTCAGCAAAGAAGGCAAAAATGTTTAGGAGATGGAATTTGTTTTAGTTTTTTATCTCTCTATTTGCTTATATATCATTCTTTATTTGTTTTTTATCTCTATCTCCGACATTTTCTTATTGAAAAATTAGGTTTCGTTTAATGACTTCGAAAAATGAAACAAATGTTATTAGAAATACATGTCCATTGGAGAAGATGCTCATCTGTTTGATAGTGAGAAACCAAATTTAAATTAAATAAGAGGCTTTATAAGTGATAGTGATTATACACCCCTATATAATGCGGAATAATTAATATTGTATCTATTATTTTTGTTACAAATTTACGAGACCTTAAGTCTAAACACACAATTTCTACATAACAAAATTGGCATATGGTCTATTCCAGAACTACACGAATGCAAATATATTTACTACGATAACCGTTTTGCCTTTATAATATCAAAAAAAAAAATGCAAAACTTGAATATGCTTGCCGGACAGACCAATAATATGGAAATTTTTGACACACACCATTCCTTGTGAATTTGCCGACATATTACTTATTTTTTTTTTTAATTTAATGTTTAGCCAATACTAATCAACATATGCCAATTTATATAAAAATTCAATTTCTAAAATGTATTATAATTTCCTATTTTAAAGCCATAAAAACATATCTACAATGTGTCTGACCTTCTAATCCAGACACAATCTTCTAATCAACAAAAAGACTATGACCTTCATAGGCCTCCTAAAAGCGAAAAACATATTGTTCCTCTTGTTCCTTCCCTATTTGAACAAATAATTTCAAATGACAACACATTTTCTTTTCAAATATAATTTATTATTAAAGGCATATTAATTCTATAATTAAAAATATACATGTAGAAAAAAAATGTGATAAAGACTTTCTTTTTGTTTTTTGTTTTTTTTTGTAATTACAATAACAAGACACTAGCTATAGCTTGACAGAGAGCCCCCACTGTTTGCGAGCTTCAATTTGAACTTTTGACACGCATAATCAAATATAACAAATTATAATAATAAATATGTTATAATTAGCCTTGTGGTTGGACTGTTTTTAATGATCTGATTCTTCGAGATATTTGTTGTATTGTTCCTCGGACATGAGTTTATCCAGCTCGGCGGGGTTTGAGAGTTTGATTTTGAAGAGCCAACCTGAAAAGAGGAAGAATGGTAAATAGTAATTAAATATGAAGAAAAATATTCAATATTTAAATTATTTGATAATTAAAATATTCAGAATAAATGTTAAGTCACCAACTAACGGAATACAACTATTCACAATCAATTAAAACTGGTTGTACATTCAGTACCACATGGAACAAATGGAAATTTTCAATATTTTGAAATCCACAAATTAGTTACGCTAAAAAATGCACACTATGATCTTCTAAGATATATAAAAAACACTTTTCCCAACTGTATGTGTTACGTTGCAAATTTATGTTTTGTTCTGATTCCGAGCCTAATTTTATTAAACCCCATATAGAGATGTAAAGATCATTTTCATTCGTATAAATAATACCAAAGTTTTGAGCTTTAAATGTGAACCTTCTAAAACGCCCATTTTAGCTATGGTGGCAGTTGTTTATGAATTCCAATAAACTACTCTCAAGGAAGAGATTTTACCCACTCATATTCCTAATAAGATGCCAATGACATACCTGTCTGCATGTTTTAGACATAGCCATCCAAACTTCAACTTCAAGAATGACCCTATTTAACCTGGACACGATAGAAAACAACTTCATTGATACAAAAAAGTGCCTCCAGATGAGCAGGCCCAAAGGCAGATTTTAATACAATTTAAAATGACAAGACGAGCGAAGCAATACAAGAATACATATTGAATGAAATCAAGTAGATCACTCGCTAGACGTCGCTATGAAAGTAAATCAGCTACTTATAAATAAAGCGGGTTACTTTTGGCATATTAGGCATCAGTATAGCATATTCAACCGAGTACGCAGTAGAAACTAGAATTCCACGAAAATGTAGAGTGGCCTACAACATATGCCCCTCCTTACATCGCTTAATCTCATCTAGGCTTTTTAAAACCCTCGTTTTTTATTTAATATTCATATCAGGCTCAAGGGCGAAAATTGCAAACGAAGGCACTTTCTTTCTTCTACCACCTCTACAAAAGGTGGACATACTAATATTAATTTTAATCATTTTTATCACCTCTAGATCTAAAATGTATATTGGATATATAGAATTGGAAATTGGATATATTGGAATACTCATACTTATTTTAATTACTTTAAACCTCTAGATCTAATGTGAAAATGTGGGTTATATTGGTCTATTCTTTCTGAACCACTTTCATAGAAGTCGAAAGAAGTTTACAAATTGTAATTAAAATATTCGCCAATTGGAATATTTATATCAGACATAGGCCAGGGACATAAAATTGGGAACGTCAGCCCCTGTGCTTTTGGGGTGTCCTCCCCAAAGGGTGAAGTCTTTGAATATTCACAACATTTATAGAATGCAAAATTATTTCGATCTTCTCCTTGAACCTCCCTCAAAATCTCTCAACAAATGAAATTACAATTGACTTCTCATTTGCGCCCAATATGAGATCTAGTGTGAGAATATAGCACCTCTTCCATAAAAGGCCATGCTTTCAAATAATAACTCTCAAAAATGTAAAATAAGAACCAGATTTAAAGACTTAACCTATCTGTTTTATTCTATCTAAGGTGAAGATCGGGTCAATCCTCTTAGTACAAAAGGATTAGACCGCAGTATCGGCCCACATTTTCTGCTAACTTTCCTTATCACTGAGCATTGGTCCATGTTCTAATTTTGAACCAGGTAGAAAGTTAAACAGATCGACCCCAAATGTTCTGAGGCTAATTTCATCCGAAGGGATATAGGATCTGATACCGGTATGGAAATACTTATAACCCCAAATACCAAACTACTTGGGAATAGGCTACTGAAATCTTTATAACCCCTTTAGTCGGAATGCAACCTTATAAGATTGTGGATTTATATTCAACATGAGATTTATATTCAGTGGAGAGGTTTTACGTTCTTTGGAAATGAGCCCTTGAATCGCGAGGAACGCTGACATAGTTAAATATAGTTTTAAATTAAATAATGTTGTCTTGTGGTCAACCAAAAGATCGTGAAACGACCAACGAAAACACGCAATTATTGTCATAGACTAATGAAAATATAGACAACGAGCGTTCAATATCGGTTGCTAAAAGACAGTCGCAACAATAGGTGTGTGTATTGCATGGTCGAGTCGCTCGACTTCGAAAACATTTTAATTGAATTTTTATACCCTCCACCTTTGAAAGGAGGGTATATTAACTTTGTCATTCCGTTTGTAACATCCTCTTCGTCGTAGACCCCATAAATTATATATATTCATAATCAGCATAAAATTCTAAATCGATTTAACGATGTCCGTCTGTCTGTTGAAATCACGATACAGCTCACATTATTTGACGTAGAGCGCCAAAATTTAGCAGAGCAATTTGAATTGTGTCTAGGATGGTTGGTATTGAAAATAAGATATATCGGTCCACGTTCTGCTATAGTCCACATATAAGGGTACCTCCCGATATTCGGTATTTTGATGATTTATGCCACATTTTTTCACGGATTTGTTTGAAAATTGGTATTTGTAGGTCATAACGGGTCCCTGTGCGTGTGGCAAAACATTGCATGTATAGGTCCACGTTTTGGTATAGCCCCCATATAAAGGTACCTCCCGATATTCGGTATTTTAATTTTTTTGTCACATTTTTTTACGGATTTGTCTAAAAACTGGTATTTGTGGGTCATAATGAATCCTAGTTCGTGTGGCGAAACATTGTATGTATAGGTCCACGTTTTGGTATAGTCCCCATATAACGGTATCTCCCAATATTCGGTTTTTTGATGATTTTTGACACATTTTTTCACGAATTTCTCTGAAAATTGGTAGTTGTAGATCATAATGGGTCCCAGTTCGTGTAGCGAGTCATTGTAACTATAGGTCCACGTTTTGGTATAACCCCCATATAACGGTATCTCCTTATATTCGGTAATTTGACGATTTTTGCCACATTTTTTCCCGGATTTGTCTGAAAATTGGTATTTGTAGGTTATAATGGGTTCTAGCTCCGTTGGCGAAACATTACATGTGAGTTAAGGTTGAAAACACGGTATCTATCGGTAGGTCTTAGCGACTACTTTGATTTCGTCGCTAACTTACCGATACATTTTGTTAATTACCGAAATTATAAGCATTTTAATTTTAACAACTTTTGTCGGCAGCTCAAAAAATGAGTAGAGAATTCCACTGCAGGTATGGGACAGTTTTTCTTTTCCAATGCACCATTTACAATTCATAAATATCATACAGTGGTTAATTTTTTTAACATTTTAGGTTTGAATGACTTGAAAATGACTATTTTCACTCATACCCCTGAAACGACATAGACGACATCTGCTAATTCGAATATTTCGACGATAATTGGTGAGAGCATTGCTTGGTCTATATTTCATTAGTCTATGAAATTGGTATATAAATTTCATCGTATATAAATTGTTTCGCACTTTCAAAACTTATAATCTCGATTCCAGAAAAAAAACTGAACTTACCATCTGTGTAGGTGTGAGTATTAATCAAACCGGGAGTATCTTCAACTTTACTGTTCTTTTCGGTGACCTCACCGCTGACAGGACAATAGACTTCACTGGCGGCTTTTACACTTTCCAAGGCGCCGCATTCATCACCTTGCTTGAAGGCAGTGCCGGGTTCTGGCAGCTGGGCAAAGACAACATCACCCAAAGCTTCTTGGGCGTATTTGGAAATACCCACAGAGGCAGAGGGGCCATCAACGGAAACCCATTCGTGTTTTTCGGTATAACGGCGTTCTAAAATCGCAAAAAGAATCCATTAAAAGCATTTCACAATCTGGCAACTCTCAAAATGGATAAAAACGAATAACAACATAAAAATCAGCTGGTTTTTTGCAATTCCATTGGTTGAAGGAGGCGGCGGGTGATGCAATGGGGAGCACCGCCATTTCCCTTTCGATGATTGTTGCATAAAAAACGAGTTTACTTTTTCTTTTTATTCTCTTCCCCAACTCACCTGCATTCAATAGCGTTGAAACACTGAATTGCCGGACATTTTGCAAATGTTTGGCCGCTTGGAAAATCCTTTGCGACTGTTGCAAGGCACGGGCAAATTTAACAATTACAACCATATTTGGTCTATCAAATATTCACTTGGAGCTGATGAAAATCGAGAACACAAACACGACGAAACCGAAGTCCAGTTGTTGTCCACCGTCTACACAAACGCCAGTCTCAGCGATCCAAACACAAATGTGACTTGTAGTCGAGTCTTCTTTTTCATTTGCGATGTTCTTCCATCAAAATACGAACGACGTTTTTGCACTGACAGAACGCACACACATACACACGCATCCAATTGTCATTCCCATTCACGCCGGCAGCGGCAACAACAAATGTTCGAAGATTATTTGATTTTGTAACGTTGAGATGATGATTCTGTTGGTGTTGGCGGCTACGTTATCAGCAAATCGACGACTTTTTGGTAGATTTGAACTTGCACCGTCTGTGGGGGTTATCACGGCCCGTAAGTGGAGTGAGAGAGAACGAGGGACATCAGACATGTGTTGAGTATGGAAGTGCCAGTTTCCTTGGGGCATTAACAAATTTTTTGAATTTGTTTATCCATTAGTTTTTTGAATTTTCTTTTAGTTTTCATTTTCGTAACAAGTTTTTTTTTGACATTGCCGGTTTCTGTGTCACCCTGTCAGCCATATTTGATAAAAGAGTGGATTAATTTATCACATATAGATGTCGTTAATGTTGCACTCCCTCTGTGGTACGAGGATATTGAAACTGTGATCGTCCTACTGTGAGGGTGCCTATTTAATTTCATTTATTAACAAAGTGGAATAGATATGTTCTACGGAAGCAAAATAACTCTGTGAAGTACACTACCACTAAATAGTGTGGAAGAGCTATACTTTCGAACGTATGTAATACTACATCGACATAACCTTAAAATTTTAGTAACTCCTCGACCTTAGACCCCACAAAGTGTATATATTCCGGATCAGCATAAAATTCTAAGACGATCTAGCGATGTCTGTCTGTCCGTCCGCCAGTCTGTTGTATCTTTCGAACGAATTGAATAGAAGGCTACAATTTTGCATTCATGCATAGTTTACCAGTAAGTTCGTAATTAACCGTGTCGGTCCACGTTTCAGTATAGCCCCATATAACCTTACCTCCCGATATTCGGTATTTTCATGGTTTTAGCGACACTATTCACAAGAATTATTTCAAATTCACTGAAGAGTAGATCTTCTAGACATATAGATGCTGTACGAATTAATTCGTAATACAGGACATTTCACCGATCGTAATTTATAATCTCTTAATTAATTTTTGCCTAAGAAGGGAGTTTACTCAGGCAGGTTTTTGTGGACCCTCAAAAGTCTAGGGATAAAGAGAAAACCAAAGTCGGTCACAAAACCCCCATACAGTCAATGGCGCTGAGATGGATGGGTCAACTTAGGGACAGCAACCTGAGGCGAAAAAAGTGACTACGCAGGCGAAACAACATTCAGTCTAGTCTGTATAGGTTGCGGCAAAAGAGGACAGAGGGAAACACAATGATGTTAAGACGAAAGTCGAACCAGCAGATATTGCTTCGCAGAAACTTTGTGACCCAAGGCCGAAGCAGAGAGTAACGGTCATTGATTAGGCTTACTCCAATGCCTCGAAGATCATTGCCTGCTGACCGACGAGAAGATTTAGTACATCTACCTTTCCGATGAAGTCGATGTGAGCAACATTCGGATTTACAGGGAAGTCAAGGTCATTACCTATTTTCCTCAATTTTCCACAATTAATGACCTTCAATCTCTTTCGTAGTGAGATGGCCGCCGTGCCTGTCTAAATTATCCCATGTAGAATGGTGGCTTCAGTGTAGCTTCCATTTCCTATATTGGAGTTGAAGAAGATTCTGAAACTTGTTTAAAATCAGAACGTTATAGTTAGTGCTGGAACAAGGCTTTCAACGAAGGAGCCGGTAAAATGTGACATTTTTAAACCGAAAGCCTTTCTCGTGAAAAAGGAATGTGGTCCCTTTCTACCAACTAGTCGGTCAGATCTATGAATTGTGGTAAGCACATTGATTGGCGGCTGCATTGTGAGATATTTGACCGCAAAATGGGATAACTGAATCAAACAGCTGTTTGCACGGCAATCTCGAGAAGAAGAACCTGTTGCCTTCATGAATTAATAGGTAAAATCGGGAAATGGCAGTAGGCATATTGAAAGACCACATCAGTATGAGGTATGTGAACGCAAAATGAAATAACAATGGTGCTGATTTCTGTAGAGTATGTGAACATGAAAAAGATATTGAGATGATGGAACATCCACTATACAGATGTTTCAGGAGATGTACGCTATTTGGTAGGTAGGAGAACTAATGTCTAATACTCTTCTCAGATGTAGATACTATTATTTACAAGTTTGCTAAAAGTATTTCCTGTATAGAAAAAAACATCCAAACAAACTTCTCTCCAAACCTTCAATTTGATACCCTCCGCCATAGTATTAAGTTTCTCATTCCGTTTGTAACACCTCGAAATATACATTTTAGACCCCACAAAGTATATATATTCTTGATCAACATAAAATTCTATGTCGATTTAGCGATGTCCGTCCGTCTGTGGAAATCACTCTAGCTTCCGAACGAAATGAAGTAGGTTGATAAAATTTTACTCAATTGTATATATTGTCTACAGGACTTTTGGTATTCAGAATGGGCCATGTAGGTCCACGTTCTGGTATAGCTCCCATATAATGGAACCTCCCTATTTTCTGTATTTTGGTGATTTAAGCGACATTATTCACCGGAATTGTTTCAAATTTGGTATTTGAAGTTCGTAATGGATACTACAGCCTGTGACAGAAAATTGTCCGAGCAGGTCCACGCCTTTGTATGGCCCCCATATAACTTCACCTCTCGATATTCGGTATTTTGATTATTTTAGCGACATTATTCACCGGAAATGTTTCTAATTTGGTATTTGAAGTTCGTAATGGATACTACAGCCTATGACAGAAAATTGTCTGAACAGGTATACGTTTTAGTATAGCCCCCATATAATGGTACCTCCCTATATTTGGTATTTTGACGATTTTAGCTCATTATTCCCCGATTTTTTTCATGTTTCGTATTTGAATATTGTAATGACTTATAATAAAAGTTGCCTATGCAGGGCCACGCCGTCGTATAGACCGTAATACAGCATTTTAACGGATTTTATTTCTTTTTTTGTTAAACTGCCAAATTCATGCCAAATGGTGGAGGGTATTCCAAGTCCGGTCCGGCCAAACTTACAGCTTTTTTTACTTGTTTCACATTGATATCTTCTATCTATCCAATCTCTAATTTATGTTCCAAACATGAACATAGCTCCCCGAAGGAAGCAGCTGCCGTCTCCTGTGTAGCTGCGAATCCTTAAAGCAAACTAGTCTATAAACTTCTTCCGATTATGGACAGGACAGGACTTTGTGTCAATAAAATCAATATAGAATTTTTAAAAAATTGACGCAAACGAAATTGTATGGAAATTTTCATTGTAAACAAAATATGTAATCACATTTTCCTTTTGAATCTTAAGAAAAAAAAATGCAAACATATTTACTTTCCATATTGAGAATTTAATTGACAAATAAAAACATGTGAATAAATTTTGATTTCAGCAATAAAAATCGCTTATCAGCAGCAAAAACACATTCTCGCCTATATTATTCAACAAAATCTCTGCTGGGGACCATGTCAATTGACCATCATCATACGACGTAGACAGTCAAGACGGGCTTATCAGCAAGTCGTCACATCGGGCATAGCGAGAGCAACATAATCAGCCTAGATAGAGACAAGCCCAAAGCAGAGGAGGAAAAAGTTGAAATCAATATTTTTTTTTCATTACGAACTTTGAAAAAAGAAAACACATTTTTAAATGTTTTTTTTTTTGTTTTCTTTTATTTTATATTATTATTAATATTTTACACTTAAAAACAAAACAAGTTATATATGCATGCGAAGAGCGGGGAGGGTTTTGTAGGGAGTGTAATACAATGGAAAAAAGGCAAACAGAACAACTGAAACAAACGAAAAAAAAAAACGCACAAAACAACTAAAAATAAACTCTATTTCCGACCAACAAATCTATCTCTCATCACTGATAATAGTTGTTGCGATTTTGAGCAGCCCTTTGCATGGGCGGCGTGTAGTCGGGTGCGGGGAAGGCTCCAACCACAATTTGTGCCTCACCCTTTTCGGGTATGGTCGATTCGGGCCTGGAACGTGGCGGATATTGTTGGAAATTTTCCAAATTACGGAAACGTCTTTCTTGGAACGAGACATCCTTGGAGAGGCGGGCAGCACGGCTAATTACATCCTGATTAATGTTAAAGTCTTCGGATGGTGTATTATTGTCCGGTACAAAGGCTTCGTTGGTAAAGACAGTGGCCATAACTTCAGTTCTAGGGGTTTGGAAGGCGAAAAGACGTGGAATTCATTAAAAGATAAATGTTTTATAATTATTGATAAAAAAAACTTACTTTTCTTCTTGATAGGCATTGATGGGAGGACGTGTGGCCAAAATGTCATCGGAATCCTTGCGTGGCATGAAGAGGTTAGCCTAGAAAAATATAAAAAATTTGTTAGTAGTTGCTATTAGTATTCATATTAAATCCTGAAAGAAGCACTGCGAGAAGCGTCATAAAAAAAGGAAGACAGTGTAAGGGAGACTTTGAAAACAGATTATTACAAAATATAATGGGGACAAACATTGCTGATAGACCTGGAAGAGGGAGAAAATAAAGACATAATAGACAGCAACCAAGGGAATTCGATTTTCTGAAAGACTTGTTACAGATATTATTAATCGTTCTCTCTCACTGACACGAATTCATAATTACTGGTCCCTTGTTGTTCACATGGACTTGGTTTCTTGTATATGTGTGTATACTCATTGTCGAATGAACATGGTTTCAATTTCTTTGGAATTTTGTAGAATAACATAGTTCATAATCCCCCAAACATCCATGATAAATAAATACGAGTGAGTAAGAGAGAATTTGTCAGTTCGGTATTGAATTGCGACTTCTTAACGTCGACAGTAAAGAGTTAAAGTAAGGCTGTGTCTGAGCTTTATAATTCTCCTTGTAACGCCATTGATCGTTCTCTCTCTCACTCACTCGTATTTATAAGTAATGTCCATTTTGTTGTTTACATGCATCCGTTTGTTTGTATGTGTGGACGTGACCGTGCTGCTTCGTTGAAATACTGTTAAAAATTCCGGGATGGGATTCTCGGGACCTCCATGTACAGATAAGGACTTATAAATACGAGCGAGTGAGAGACCATTTAGTCAATTGTGAGTTGGAGAAAATCGATCAGTCAGTTATGAATTGCGACTTGCAAACGTCGACAGTAAAGAGGTTAAGTAAAGCTATGTGTTAACAGACATTAAGACTTAAGCATATTAGGGTTTTTCCGTTAATTTCAAAAAACTTGAACTGATGCGTAAATTTTTAAGCCGTTTCTTTAAATTTGGTATTGGTAGACTATAAAAATTTCCCTATAGAACTTCCTACATTCCCCTATTATTTTCCATGGTTGTTTTGTTATTGTCATAATTTGTTTTCCCATATCACTTTCTGTAACAGTCTAGGCATTATAATTATCACTGTAACGCCATAAATCGTTCTCGCTCTCACTCACTCGTATTTATGAGTTATATCCATTTTGTTGTTTACAGGCATTCATTTGATTGTATGTGTGGACGTGGTTGCCATTTCGTTGAAATATTGTAGAACCATTCGGATTGCGATAATTGCAAACCGTCATGTACAAATGAGGACCTATAAATACGAGCGAGTAGGAGACCATTTAGCAGCAAAATCGAAAATTTGTTGTCTGGGTCACAAATTTGCAAAATCTAATATAGATCAAGCACGTAAAAAAGCATTAAGTTCGGCCGGGCCGAACTTTGAATATCCTCCACCATCTGGAATGCATTAGGAAATTTTCAAAAAAATAAAATTCGTTAAAAATTCTGTTACGGAATACAGGAAGTAGCCGTTATGTTGGGGTCCATACGAAGACGTGGACCAGCATAGGCAATTTTGTCATAGGCTATTACAATATTCAAATGCGAAACTTAAACAAAATCCGCAAAATCTGTCACAGGCTGTAGTACCTATTAAGAACTTCAAATACGAAATTTGAAACAATTTTGGTGAATATATTTTGGATTTTGGACAGAACCTCAAGCAAGCGCTTCGCCGGGAACGGGCCAAAATTCCGCAGAGCAACATTCGGGCAGCGTGTGACGGTTTCATTGGCCATTTGAAGGCTATAATATGTGTCAAAGGTGACCAATTCGAACAAATTTTAACTTATTCTAAAATTTGATGCTATTTCCGACATTCTTTGCTTTCATCCAATAAAATTTAAAAAAGTAAAAAACAATATTATCCATTTTGTTACGAGACCTAAAACTGATGCAAAAATTAGGATTTGCAAAATTAGATTATTGCTTCCCTTTCTGTGCAGAATTTTTTATGCAAATTTCGTTCATTTGTGAGGGAGGTACCAGAAGGAGTGGATCGATTTTGCCCATCTTAACACCAGACCTTGAGTTAATATAAATATTGGGATGTGTGAAATTTGAAGACAATCGGACTCTTACATCACATTTTATGGGAATTGTAATTATTCAAAATTTTGACCATTTGTGGGGGAGTTACTTGATGGAGTGGACCGATATTATCCATTTTCACACCTGACCTAGCACTGACGCAAATACTAGGATTTGCAAAGTTGGAGCAAAATCGGATATCCTTTCTCTTTCTGTGCAAAAAATATATTTCTTGAAAATGTCGACCTTTTGTGGGGGAGGTACCAGAAGGAGTGGACCAATATTGTCCATCTTAACACCAGACCTTGGGATAATATAAATATTGGGATGTGTGAAATTTGAAGACAATCGGACTCTTACATCACATTTTATGAGAGTTATAATTATTAAAAATGTTGACCATTTGTGGGGGAGGTACGTGATAGAGTGGAACGATATTGTCCATTTTCGCACCTAACCTAGCACTGGTGAAAATATTAAGATTTGCAAATTTGGAGCAAAATCGGATTTTCATTTGTCTTTCTGTGCAAAAAATAATTTTTTTTTTGAAAATTTTGACCTTTTGTGTGGGAGGTACCAGAAGGAGTGGACTGATATTGCCCATTTTCACACCAGACCTAGCACTGGTGAAAATATTAAGATTTGCAAATTTGGAGCAAAATCGGATTTTACTTTCGCTTTCTGTGCAAAAAATATTTTTTTTTGAAAATTTCGACCTTTGTGGGGAAGGTACCAGAAGGAGTGGACCAATATTGTCCATCTTAACACCAGACCTTGGGATAATACAAATATTGGGATGTGTGAAATTTGAAGACAATCGGACTCTTACATCACATTTTATGAGAGTTATAATTATTAAAAATTTTGACCATTTGTGGGGGAGGTACGTGATAGAGTGGAACGATATTGTCCATTTTCGCACCTAACCTAGCACTGGTGAAAATATTAAGATTTGCAAATTTGGAGCAAAATCGGATTTTACTTTCGCTTTCTGTGCAAAAAATATTTTTTTTTGAAAATTTCGACCTTTGTGGGGAAGGTACCAGAAGGAGTGGACCGATATTGCCCATTTTCACACCAGACCTAGCACTGGTGAAAATATTAAGATTTGCAAATTTGGAGCAAAATCGGATTTTACTTTCGCTTTCTGTGCAAAAAATATTTTTTTTTTGAAAATTTCGACCTTTGTGGGGAAGGTACCAGAAGGAGTGGACCAATATTGTCCATCTTAACACCAGACCTTGGGATAATACAAATATTGGGATGTGTGAAATTTGAAGACAATCGGACTCTTACATCACATTTTATGAGAGTTATAATTATTAAAAATTTTGACCATTTGTGGGGGAGGTACGTGATAGAGTGGAACGATATTGTCCATTTTCGCACCTAACCTAGCACTGGTGAAAATATTAAGATTTGCAAATTTGGAGCAAAATCGGATTTTACTTTCGCTTTCTGTGCAAAAAATATTTTTTTTTGAAAATTTCGACCTTTGTGGGGAAGGTACCAGAAGGAGTGGACCGATATTGCCCATTTTCACACCAGACCTAGCACTGGTGAAAATATTAAGATTTGCAAATTTGGAGCAAAATCGGATTTTACTTTCGCTTTCTGTGCAAAAAATATTTTTTTTTTGAAAATTTCGACCTTTGTGGGGAAGGTACCAGAAGGAGTGGACCAATATTGTCCATCTTAACACCAGACCTTGGGATAATACAAATATTGGGATGTGTGAAATTTGAAGACAATCGGACTCTTACATCACATTTTATGAGAGTTATAATTATTAAAAATTTTGACCATTTGTGGGGGAGGTACGTGATAGAGTGGAACGATATTGTCCATTTTCGCACCTAACCTAGCACTGGTGAAAATATTAAGATTTGCAAATTTGGAGCAAAATCGGATTTTACTTCCGCTTTCTGTGCAAAAAATATTTTTTTTGAAAATTTCGACCTTTGTGGGGAAGGTACCAGAAGGAGTGGACCGATATTTCCCATCTCCGAACTCGATGTGAGTTCGACAAAAATATTACGATGTACCAAGTTTGGATAAAATCGGATACTCCCTTCGAGAGTTATCATGCGCACCAGCCAGCCAGACAAACAGACAGACGGACGGAAGGACATCGCTAGATCGACTCCAAATGTTCTGAAATGGATTTGGTTCAAAGAGACCTAGGGTCTAAAACCGTTATTTCGACTAGGCACGTTTTGACCGTATCAAATGGTATATACCCTCTGTAGCCATATGGCTGAGGGTATAATTATGGCGTTTGACGTTGTTGCTGTCTGTTTATCTTACCCTCTATGTTGAAGGGGATAAAAAAGCCCAGAAGATATTCTTTCTTTAGTAGAAGTTAAGAAGATCCCCAAAAGACCTGCCAAGGTGTCTCAAATTCTCCAAGGACCTAAATTTCTTTTTGTGATGCACACCAAAACCCCACTGTGTCCCCACCGACATTTAATCAAATTCCAAGCTCCATCCACCTACAAAGCATGAAAGCTTATCATTTCGATAGGCTGTATGGAATTCGAAATATATGTCGGTAAACTTTTATACATCTTCACACACACATATATATATATTACACATATCTGTGTATATATTGTTTGTATATAAATAATAATAAATTTTATCGACATATAAATAAGGAGGTGACTGATTAATGTACGAATAGCTCTTATCGCTTGTTAACCACCAGGTTTGAGGTGCCGCGAAGAAATGAAATTTATTTTCCGTGAAAAAAAAAAAAAAAACACAAAAACAATCAACCGAACTAGAGTTAACTTTTCAAAAAATATATATATTAACAGAAACAATTTAAGGCAATGCGATTAATCATTGCTTCCCTTGTCTTTTACATAAAAAAATACCTATTTTTGCGTAGTTTTTTTTTTTTTTTGTTTTGTTAATAAAAAGATAATAGAAAATACTTGTCCGGAAATGTTGGATTCTTTCTAAAGTACATTGTCTTAATGCCTCTTCAGTGACTAAGTTTTTTTTTTTAATATAACCAAGTTAGTTGGTGGCACCACCAGAACTTTAGAGTTATTTCACTATACATTAAAAATTTTAAAATCGGCCATGATGTCATGAGTCCGAAAATGTTTACACCATGATACTTATGTTCAGTTCTTGTTCCCATTCCATAGCAAATATTAATCGCTGGGGCCATACTCACCGTGCCATCGTTATCTCGCATAATAAATATGCTTTGCACCAACAGATAAACGGCAAAGCCGACATTTATTATCCACAAAACGAAGCCCTTGAATGTCAGCAACATCATTGAGATGGCAGCAATTGTGGCGGCCAGAACCTGGGCAGCTTGTGGTTGTATCTCACCAGCATAAGCCGAGCTAAGATTATAATCGGCAGCCTCTGCCCGGAAACGTCCATAGTCTACGCCAAAGATAACACCCAAAACAAAGTCCATACAACATATCATCAGGGTGATTATGACCCAGGTCAAGAGAACGCCAAGTGTGTTTTTTCGATTATCCTTGGTAACATCTGACGGAGAGAAAGACAAAAAAAATATATAAAATTCATTAAATTTATGGCGGGAAATAAATGACCTATTATAGGCTTTCTATATATGCGGAATATATTAATGCAACGAAATTGCGATACCAGAAAAAGGGGAGAAATAAATTGAAATAAAAAATAGACGTTTTTTAGATGGGTTCTTTATTGAGGCACCACGAACGTTAGTAATGCCCTCAGCCATATGGCTAGAGAGGGTATATATTATTTGATACGGACCTAGGCCCTCTTTGGACCAAATCCGTTTCAGGATATTTGGAATCGATTGACATCGACATCGCTAGATGTCCGTCCGTCCATATGTCTGCTGGCTGGTGCACACGATAACTCTCGAAGGGTGTATCAAACTTAGATTGAGTTCGGAGATGGGCAATATCGGTCCACTTCTTCTGGTACCTCCCCCATAAAAGGTCGAAATTTTCAAAAAATATATTTTATTGCATAGAAGTAGAAAGGATAAACCGATTTTGCTCCAAATTTGTAAATCCTAATTTTTACATCAGTTCTAGGTCAGGTGCGAAAATGGACAATATCGGGCCACCCCATTAAGTACCTCACCCAAAATGGGTCAACATATTGAATAATTATGATTCTTATAAAATTTGATGTATGATTCCGATTACATACATCACGATATTTTTATTAATCTAAGGTCTGGTGTAAAGATGGAATATATCAGTCCGCTCCATCTGGAACCTCGCCTACAAAAGGTCGAAAATAAAAAATATATATTTTATTGCACAGAAAGCGAAACAATAATCCGATTTTGCTCCAACTTTGCATATCCTAATATTTGCGTCAGTGCTACGTCAGGTGCGAAAATGGACAATATCGGTCCACTCCATCAAGTACATCCCCCACAAAGGGTCAAAATTTTGAATAATTCAAACTCTTCTAAAATGTGATGTAAGAATCCGATTGTCTTCATATTTCACACATCCCAATATTTTTATCAACCCAAGGTATGGCCTAAAGATGGAATATATCTGTCCACCCCTTCTGGTACCTCCCCCACAAAAGATCGAAATTTTCAAAAAATATTTTTTGTACAGAAAGCGAAACAATAATCCGATTTTGCTCCAACTTTGCAAATTCTAATATCTGCATCAGTGCTAGGTCAGGTACTGAAATGGACAATATCGGTCCACTCCATCAAGTACCTCCCCCACAAAGGTTCAGAATTTTGAATAATTATAACTCTTATAAAATGTGATGTAAGAATCCGATTGTCTTAAAATCTCACACATCCCAATATTTTTTATAAACCCAAGATCTGGTGTTAAGATGGGACATATCGGTCCGCTCCTTCTGATACTTTTCCCACAAAATGTTGAAATTTCGAATATCCATTATGCTCATAAAACGTGAAATTAACATCCGATTCCATTTAGACTTGGCACATCTGAATATTTCTATCAACACAGGACCTATTATATCTATCGGACCATTCTTTCTGGTACCTCCCTCACAATATATGCGGTGAAGATGGAATATATCACTCCACTCTTTCCGGTACCTCCCTCACAAAGGGTCATAATTTTGAATATCCATGAAGCTCATAAAACGCGAAATTGACATCCGATTCCATTCAGACTTGGTTTATCTTAATATTTTTATCAACGCAGATTTTTTATAAAGATGGTACAGATTGGACCATTCCTTGTAGTACCTTCCCCACGAAGGGTCAGAGTTTTGAATAACCAAATCGATTATAGAATCCAAATTATTTCTATCCCATTATTTCTACTAACACAAGATCTTCTGTGAAGATGAGATATATCTGTCCACTCCATGTGGTACCTCCCCACAAAGAGTCCGAATTTTGAATATCCATAAAACGCGAAATTAACATCCGATTCCATTAAGACTTGGAATATCTCAATATTTTTATCAAAACGAGATACGTTACAAATATGGTAGAGATCGGACCATTCTTTATGGTAGCTGCTCCACGAAGGGTGAAAGTTTTGAATAACAAAATCGATTACAGAATCCGAAATAAGCATCAGGTTTTCTCCAAATTACACAAATCCCATTATTTCTACTAACACCAGATCTGTTGTGAAGAGGGAATATATCGGTCCACTCCTTCTGGTACTTTCCCCACAAAAGGTCGAAATTTCGAATATCCATTAAGCTCATACAATTAACATCCGTGAAATTAACATCCGATTCTTGGCACATCTGAATATTTCTATCAACATAGGATCTATTATAAAAAGGTAGAGATCGGACCATTCCTTCTGGTACCTCCCCGACAAAGGGTCAAAGGTTTGAAAAACCAAAATGTTTATAATGTCCGAAATAAGAATCATGTTCTCTCTATATTTCACACATCCCATTATTTCTACTAACACTAGATCTAATGCGAAGATGGAATATATAAGTCCACTCCTTCTGGTCGAAATTTTGAATATCCGTGAAGCTCATAAAACGCGAAATTAACACCCGATTCCATTCAGACTTGGTACATCTCAATATTTCTATCAACAAAGATTTTTTATAAAGATGGTACAGATCGGACCATTCCTTCAAGTACCTCCCCATGAAGAGTTGAAGTTTTGAATCACCAAAATGATCATAAAATCCGAAAAAACCACCTGGTTTTCTCCAAATTACGCAAATCACAATATTACATTATTACTATGTGGAGTCTAAACCTTTTGAAACTCTTCTCTCTCAAAATTTGAATACTTACACATTAAAATCAATCCCGAAGCGATTAACCAACACACAGCAACACCCAAATACACACAATCCCAGATGAGAATATCGGTAGGATCCAAAATGGTTTTTGTTTTGATGAATTCACTCTGATAGGCTGGGAATGCATCGGGAGTACAGGTCGATTTGAAGTAAAGAGCCATGAAAATTGTCGGTACAACGGAAGCATAATTGAAGGTACCATTGACATTTATGACACAATTATACGACAGAATTCCCGTAATTGTCAGGCCAATGAAGAGCAGGGATTGGAACTGGAAATAGAAGGAAATGTGAGGGTTATTACAAGAACAAAAAAGTAAGACAATAAATGGCATATTATATAAGAATAAATAATTTGAAAGAGGTTGGGAGATTAAAACAGTTAAGATTTCAAGAATTACAGTTTTCATAAAAAAGAACCCTGCTGGACAATATCGGGCCACTCCATTAAGTACCTCCCCTACAAAGGGTAAGAATATTGAATACTTATAACCCTTAAAAAAAGTGATGTAGCAGTCCGATTGTCTTCAAATTTCATACATCATTAACCCAGGGTCGGGTGTGAAGATGGAATATATCGGTCCATCTTCTGGTACCTCCCCCACAAAAGATTCAATATTTTCAATATCCATGAAGCTCATAGAACGCGAAATTACCATTCGATTCCATTCAGACATGGTACATCTCAATATTTCCATGAGCAAAAGGTCTGTCATAAAGATGGTAGAGACCGAACCATTTCTTCTAATACTTCCCTCACAAAGGGTCAAAGTTTTGAATATCCATGAAGCTCACAAATCGCTAAATTCACATCCGATTTCATTCAGACTTGGCACATCTCAATATTTCTATTGACGCAAGATATGTTATAGATATGGAAGAGATTGACCCATTTTTTCTGGTACATCCCCCACAAAGGGTCAACATTTTGAATAATTATAACTTCTATAAAATGTGATGTAAGAGTCGGATTCTCTTCAAATTACATATATCCAAGTATTTCCACTAACACAAGATCTGCTGTGAAGATGGGATATATCGGTAGACTCCTTCTGGTACCTCCTCCACAAAGGGGCACAATTTTGAATATCTATGAAGCTCATAAAACGGGAAATTAACATCCGATTGCATTCAGATTTGGTATATCTCAATATTTCTAACACAAGATATGTTATAAAGATGATGGAGATTGAACCATCCTTTCTGGTACCTTCCCCATAGATTTTGAACAACCAAATCGATTTTAAAATCCGAAATAAGCATCCGGTCCCCTTCATATTACACAAATCCCTTTATTTCCATTAACAAAAGATCTGCTATGAAGATGGGTTATATCGGTCCAATCTTTGTGGTACCTCCCCCACAAAGAGTCAAAATCTTGAATATTCACGACACTCATAAACACAAACATCCGATTCCGCTCAGACTAAGCACATCTCAATATTAACACAAGATTTGCTATAAAGATGGTAGAGATTGGACCATTCCACCTGGTACTTCACCCACGTAGACTCAGTGATGAAATGGTGAACTCATTGTCCATCTGGTGATATGAAGTTAATGCGAATTATTTCCTCTTCTTAAAAATATAAAAGAAATTAAAGCTGATGATCGACAAGTGAATATACAGAGAGTTCGTTTCTTCAGCCTACTTTGTTTCATTCCTTGAATATTGTCGGGGTATTTGTAATGCATATCGCCATATCTAATAGAAATGACTAATTTCCTTTCCGACTATTGTGATGAGCCTTTCATTCCATTGACAATTTTTACCTATTAATCATAAAAACCCGTTGACGTTATAGGTATATTTGATTTAATTTTTATTCTATCATTGATCGATGCAGATAAGATTACAGGTCGTTGGAATAAGAGTGCACGTTTTTATTTCAACGCTTGTAAAAGTAGAATAAAATTAATGTATATATACATATATACAGGGCGAGATGAAAAAAGTGCAACCAACTTCAGACTGCTGTCATTTCTAAGCCACTCGTCCGTCAGCTGGTTAAATTATTCCAGTGACAGCTCATTATATTGTTTACAAGCATTTCGGTGAGAATTTTCCGGAAATATGTTATTCGTGATGGAATTCAGGCGTGATAGTGTGATTTCTTTATATTTGGCTGGAAAACCACAAGTGGCTATCGTTAGAGCACTCCAGCATTTAAATGTGAATAAATCTTTTGTGTCTCGTAAAATCACTCGTTAACGTGATACTGGTAGCGTAGCCCGACGTCAAGGAAGAAAACAGCAACATCAGCAGAACTGGTTCGAAAAGTAAAGAAGGGACTTGATCGAATCCCGCGTCGCAGATGCCGAAAAATGGCTTGTAAGCTGAACATATCGCAATATTCCATTCGGCAAATATTGAAAAATGAGCTCGGGGTAAAGCCATTGAAATTCCAAAAAGTGCAAAAACTTACACCGCAACAGAAAGAAAACAGACTCAAAAGAGCTAAATAGTTGCTTCGCTTAGCTGAAAGTAATGAACTGCCGAATTTGGTTTTCTCCGATGAGAAAACATTCGTTGTTTAGCAGTTTGTAAACAAACAAAATGATCGGGTTTAACTGCCAAAGAGGTCAGCTGAAAATGTGCACCTTCAGTTGGTCACCAGAACTCAAGCGCCGGGCATGGTGATGGTGAGGGTCCCCATAATAACCGATGGTGGCTCTCCGCTCGTGTTAATCGACCATGGCATCAGAATAAATGCCGAATATTATCGCGAAAATGTTCTGAAGGGTACTTGAGTGTTATTTTATGTGAGCACCTAACATGCGGTCTATCTCACAGTGGTCTTAGCACCGGGTGAATACAATGCCCCCATATGAGTGAGTTCCAATTCGCTCGCACGTTATTTGGATGCCTCCTTGGTTAGGAGCGGAGCCAATCTAAACTCCTGCCTTTCTATGGGTCAACCACCCGGTTGGTAATGCAACTCCACATTCGAGCAACACACTCTCCCCGCGATTTGGGTTTAAACCACAGCCACCGCGATGCTCCCACAAGGGGGCCAACACCAACTAGGCTAGATCCGGGCATGTGGAGGGTGTGTTAAATCCTTAGGCACTCAAACATTTTGGCCGCACACCTTGGACCTCCCAACAGGACTCAGCACCATCGCACTCAGCACGCGCCACCCAAGACTGGTTACAAAATGAGGTTCCTCGCTTCATTGGCCACCAAAATCTCCGGATACCAATCTGTTGGACTATTGCGTCTGGAGTATTTTGGAAAGCAAGGTTGGCACTAAAAAACACCAAGGTGTCGATCACATCAAGCAAGGGCTTCGCGGGGAATGGGCCAAAATACCGCAGAACAACATTCGGGTAGCGTGTGACAGTTTCATTGGCCGTTTGAAGGCCATGATTCGTGCCAATTCGAACAAATCCCAACTTATTCTAAAATTTGATGCTATTTCCGACATTTATTGCTTTCATTCAATAAATTAAAAAAAAAAATTATGACTTTTGACATTGTTGCAGTTCTTTTATCTTACCCTGTAAAGGGGGGTACCGTTATATGGGGGCTATACGATATCGTGGACCGATATAGCCCACCTTCGAGCTTGACCAACTCGCAGACAAAAGACAGATCTGTGCAAAATTGTAGCTTCCTATCTTTATTTGTTTTGACTGTAGCGTGGTTACAACCGACAGATGGACGGACAAGGCTGAATCGTCTTAGAATTTTACGCTGATGAAGAATAAATACCTTTTATAATTTATATTATTTTTTCGATGAGTTACAAACGGAATGACGAACCTAATATACCCTCCATACTATGTATTTCGGGGGGTATAAAAACAATATCAATACTGCCTTCATTCAAAACATTGCAAAGTCCAATTTTCTCTATTTTGCACTTTTATACCCTAACTTTTTTTGTTGTCATAATTTTTATCATTTAGTACAAATATTTGATATACTAATCCATCACTGGCAGTTTATGATAAAAAAAACAGCCCCTAGGTGATTATTCATCACAATGTGCGTTGTGTATATATTTTTTTTAAATGGCGTTGCGAATAATATCGGAATTCCCCAGAGCTATATGCCAAAAACAAATAAAGATAAATCATAGTAGGTGGGGAAAGTAAATTCCCCTGAGCACCAAAACTAATTTCAGGAATTAACGAGAGGGGCCAAAGGAAAAAGAAGGAACTAGGGAAACTATTTGAACTAAAATAACTGGATAAACAAAGGGCTGGTGTTATTTCCGATAGTTCCTTTCGTGGAAAGGTTATTTTGAACTAGTACTTTCCGTAACGACGCAGTTCTAGTTCATGCTTTGGTAACCTTTGGATTGGACTTATTAAAAAGGAGAGCTGAAGTTGTGTTCTTCCGGAACGAACTAATACAAAAGAAAAATTATTCTCTTTAGTTCACCAAGTTCCTTAAGTTCGTCCGGCAAAGCAAAAAGAGCTGGGTACAGTTTGGATTTTTGCTTTTACGGAGTAGTTCCTTTGAACTAGTTCATGTATTTCCAATTTAAAATCTCATCGACAATATTGGACGTTAGTAATTGGAGTAGTGGCCGAAAAATGGCTTATGAGCTAAACATATCGCAACATTCCATTCGGCAAATACTGAAAAATTAGTTCGGGGTAAAGCTATCGAAATTCCAAAAATGCAAGAACTTACACCGCAACAGAAAGAAAATAGACTCAAAGTGGTGAACTGCCGAATTTGGTTTTCTCCAATGTGAAAACATTCGTTGTCCTAAACAAACAAAATGTTCGTGCTTACTTGCCAAAGAGGTCAGCACCTTCGGTTGGCCACCAGAATTTAAGCGCCGGCCATGGTGATGGTGTGAGCCGCCATAACAGCCGATGGTCGCTCTCCGCTCGTAATTATCGACCGTGGCATCGGATTAAATGCCAAATATTATCTCGAAAATATTCTGGAGGTTGTATTAAGAGGAGGACACGCAAACATTTTGGCCGCAGACCTAGGACATTCCAACATGACTGAGCACCATCGCACTCAGCACGCGCCACACAAGAATGGTTACAAAATGAGGTTCCCCGTTTCAATTCCAAAATCTCCAGATATCAATCCGATGGACTATTGTGCCTGGAGTATTTTGGAAAGCAAAGTTGGCACAAAAAAAAATACCAAAGTGTCGATCAACTCAAGCAAGCGCTTCGCCGGGAAAAGGCCAAAATACCATAGCCAAGGGTGTCGTGGAGTGGAAGATTGACACGTCACTGGTATTTCAGATATTTCGGCTGGCTCCTTCGGAAAAGGATAAAGAAGAGTATGGCCAAAATCGATCTAATCGAATTAAACCATTCAGAAAGGCGTTTTACGTATTTTCGCCTTATTCTTAAATTTGTTTCGGCGATAAAAACTTCCCATTTTATGGGAAGGAAATTCGATTTGATTCGACGTTTAAATAGAGTCACACTGAAAGTGTTCGGGACCGTAATTATGGAGTCAAATCGAAATTCTGTATTCATGGTCGCAATCTTTTCTCCATTCTTCTTTCGGCAGAAAATCATAAGTGTTTCAGTCTTTGTCTCTTACAGGTCCATTTAAAGGAGGAACAGATGGATAGAATCTTGGCATCTCACATATGTAATGTGCGCATAAAGGAAACGCACAATTATGTGATAACTTGTCACGTTTTACTACCTACCCTAGGATCTTAAAACCGAGGAAATATAGGACAGGATATGGTAAGGAAGAAATTTGACTTCAAAGGGCATATAGACTTTATGAGCTGATTGAAACAGTGGGCGATTATAGTCCTTAGGCAAGTTTGTTATTATATTAACAGATAATGCCAATTATCGGAGAGCCTTTAGGTTCAATGCGCGTCGAGCTACTATAGCACTGGCTTACAAGTTGGTCTTAAAATCGTGGAAATGAAGGACAAGATAAAATACCTACGGAAAATGTTGATAAGAAATTTGACTTGAAAGGGCATATAGACTTTATCGTAGCCAGAGAAAGGACTATCAAGGGCTGATGAAAATGGGTGGTGGTTTTTATCGTAGGGCAAGGTTGCTATTAAATTGAAATTCGCCAAATGAATTTGAAGGGCTTAACAAAATGAACACGTTGAGCGATTCTACGCATTAAATTTTATCGATTAAAAAGTAACCACAGGGATGTGTTAAGTATCGATGAACCCGTCTATCTGAGGTTGTTAATCGATAATACTCGGACGAATAAATGGGTTCGTTCACGTTCATTCTTTTTTACTACCAAGAAAAAACACTTAGGGGTAATGTTCTATAAGAAATTTGACTTCACAAGGGCATATAGACTTTATTCTGGTAATACCAGGGCTGAAGAAGATGCAGGCCGGTGCTATTCCTGAAGTAATGTTTCTATTTTATCGGAAGACACCTGAATCTGGTGTCTGATAAATACAACAGAAAAAAAGAGTGGGATAATTTTTCGCGTAAAATATTATCGCTTCAAATTGCATCAATCAGAGGGAGTCCTTCAGTATATATAAACCCGACTTCCTGTGGATTGGAAGTGGATGTGTAGAATTCTTGTTTCATATTTCTAAAGACAAAACTATATATTCTAATAGGGCTATCTATGATGGGGTGGATTTTTAAAATTTTATTTTAATATTTTAACTTATTGAGATTTTTAAATAATAATTCGAAAATTTTTAATTTTTTAAATATATTTAAAAAAACCTGGTGGATTATGAATTCTATTTTAAATATATTTTTTAGAAGTCTTAATTGTTAATGGATATTTAATAAAATATTTTAAAATTTCAACCGAGCGTGAAGCTTTTCAACATTTTTTTTTCAAAAATCCAGACTGATCATAGATTAAAAAAAAAAAAACAAAATAAAAAAGCAGTAAGTTCAGCCGAGCCGATCTTTGGAAATTTAAAAAAATAAATAAAATTCGTTAAAAATTCTGTTAAAATTTTAAAAATACCGAATATATCCATTATATTTGGGGTCTATACAAAGACGTGGATCTGCATAGGCAACTTTTGTCTAAGGCATTACAACATTCAACCGCGAAACTTGAAAAAATCCGGTGAATAATATAGCTAAAGTCATAAAAATACCGAATAAAGGGAGGTATCGTTATGTCGGGACTATACGAAGACCTGGACAATTTTCTGTCATAGACTGTAGAACCCATAAAGAACATCAAATAAGAAATTTGAAACAATTCCGGTGAATAATGTCGCTAAAATCATAAAAAAACGAATATAGGGAGGTATCGTCGATATATGGGGACTATACGAAGACTTGGAACTGCATAGACAATTTTCTGTCTTAGGCTGTAGTATCCGTTTCGAACTTCAAATACCAAATTTGAAACAACTCCGTTGAATATCGTCCTAAAATCATGAAAATACCGAATATTGGGGGGTACTGTTGTATAGGGGCTATACAATATCGTGGACCTATATAGACAATTCTCTTCCACGTGGTAAAGCACTTAGAAGGAACTTCTGTTATGGTATTTTATACAATTCCATGGAAAATGTCCCTAAAATCATCAAAATACCGAATATCTGGGATTATCATTGTTTTATGGAGCTATATGTGGACCTATATAGACAATTCTCTTCCAGAGGGGAAAGTACTCAGAAGAACTCTTTGTGTGGATTTTCAAAAAAATGTCCTAGAAAAATTTGGCTACAATCATCAAAATACCTAATATAGGGGGGAGGGGTACCGTTATATGGGGGCTATATGATATCGTGAACCGATATTGCCCATCTTCGAACTTGACCTGCCTGCATACTGGCATACAGACTGGCCTGTTGAAAATGTTAGTTTCCTATTTTAATTCGTTTTGACTCTAGCGTGATTACAACAGACGAACGAACAGGGGGAACATCTCTAGTTAAGTATAACTCTTCGACTTTTTCGAATTTTTCCAGAGGTAGGTATTTTAGCCCTAATTCCGGGAGACTTTTTTTTGCTTGCGATACGGACCCGTGTCCACTAGACAATATAGGTATCGTTTCAAAGGTTATAAAAATAACTATCTAACAAGAAGGGTTTATTTATAAGAGGTCGGAAGTTATAGTCAAATTATCGATTTTTTTAGACTCGAATTTTTTGTAAACCCCCCCAAAAAGCCGAAAAAATGGTCCATTATGGGTGTCAACAAAATTGATGCCAAATTATAGCTGACACTCTTTTACCTTTCCTTTGTCTATATCGGGTAAGCGGATTCGGGTCTATATTGCCATAAAAAAGAGGGAAGGTATGAAGGTTCTTCACAGTATTTTCCACGTTGCTTTGTTCGATTTTTTAAGACCCTAATTTTTTGTAAAACCCCCAAAAAAGCCGAAAAATGGCCTATTATGGGTGTCAACAAAATTGATGCCATATTATAGCTGACACTCTTTTACCTTTTCTTTGTCTATATCGGGTAAGTGGGTCCGGATCTATATTAGCCTAAAAAAGAGGGAAGGTATGGAGGTCCTTCACAGTATTTTCCACGTTGCTTTGTTCGATTTTTTAAGACCCTAATTTTTTGTAAAACCCCCAAAAAGCCGAACAATGGCCCATTATGGGTGTCAACAAAATTTATGGCAAATTATAGCTGACACTATTTTACCTTTCCTTTGTCTATATCGGCTAAGTGTATTCCGGTCTATATTAGCATAAAAAAGAGGGACGGTATGGAGGTTCTTTACAGTATTTTCCACGTTCTAACCATCATTGGAAAATGGCGCCCAAGTGGTGCTTTGTTCAATTAAATTTCCACATCATTCATAGATGATTCTCCTTTTTAGAAATCGAAGAAGTTGGCAACATTTATCTTTCCTTTGTCTACATCGGATAAGTGAATCCGGGTCTATATTAGCTTAAAAAAAGAGGAAAGGTTATGGAGGTTCTTCACAGTGGCGCCCAAGTGGTGCTTTGTTCAATTAAATTTCCACATCATTCATAAATGATTCTCCTTTTTAGACATCGAAGAAGTTGGCAACTTTTATCTATCCATCCATAAAAAGAAGAGGGAAGTTATGGAAGTTCTTCACAGTGTTTTCCACGTTCTGACCATCATTGTAAAATGGCGCCCAAGTGGTGCTTTGTTCAATTAAATTTCCACATCATTCATGGATGATTCTCCTTGTTAGACATCGCAACTGTGGAGCCTAGTGTTCAGCCAAAGGATTTGTATCGGAGACGAGAGTACTTTTTTACGAGATAGTTTCTTCCTCAATTCTCCCATTTATTTGACTTAGTCCCTGAGGAATTACTCTACACTCCATCCAAATCCATCATTAATTTGAGGATTACATATTTAACTCATTATTGACTTTAAAAAATATATATTTCGAAGCCCACGCGTTTTTCTGCCTTATAAAAACAACGTCTAAAACCTCTCAAACATTTTCCTCTCTCAAACACCAAATCAAATTCTCTTATTCACTTGACGGACTTACCAATCCAAAAAATCCAGCCCAATAGGTAATGGTGCGCAAACAACTAAAGTTCTTTACTGACCCCGAGGGGTTGCTGTATCCAAATCCGTTATTCATTTTGTAAACAATTAGCGGCAAAATCTACTCTCTCTCTCTGCTCTGCTCTGCTTGGCTCTCTTTTTAAAATGATCAATTGTTGGGGATTGAGTTACAATCAAACCCCTGCTTGGTTGTTTCACTGCAGTCTCTGCACGTTTCGCTAAATATCCGGCAAAAGTTTCGCGTTGTGTACCACTTCTTTGGAGGTGAACAATCAACTCACGTCACGCTCAACTAAACCCGCAGTAGTTTGTCAAATCGAACAGCTTTTTTTGCAATGGAAATTCGTTGTTGTAGAATTTATTTTTATTTTTTTTATCAGAAATTTAACATCCACCGTTGGCCTAGAGGGAGGAGAGGTTGGAGATTGGAAGCAATTAATTACACTTGGACGTTTATTTTTTTATTGTTATTATGATTTTTTCCCAGTAATCAACCAACCAATTATAAAAATTCGCCACCAACAACTGTGTCAGCGTTTAAACCGAAAAGAAATTGACGTTCGCACTCGTTGCTCTTTCGTATTCGTACTGAGGGAAAATTTGTTTCTGGGTTTTTTCGAACCACCAGACAGACGATTTCTAGTTCGATATCTTGGACATGGCCAACAAACGTCCCCTGTGTTGTTTTTTTTTCATGTCCTAATCATTTTAACCATAGACGAAGTCTTGGCCAAGGGGTTGAAGTGGAAATGTACCTATGTTAGTTCGGCGTTTTTTTGGAGCGGCCGTTTTTTGGCCGAGTACCTTGTGCATCAAATCTACATAGTTTTTACAATTTACTCTCTCCCTCTCTCCTTATTTCGTTGTAATCAGGTGAAAAAGAAAAAAATGTAAAAGCCAACGCGACCGCATTTTTATCGTTATCATCAATATGCGGGATCTTATCAATGTTTTGGTGTTGTTGTTTCGAATTTTTCTGATAGTCGTCAATATGGGTAGTGTGTGGAGGTGTCATAAAGTAAGGGTATTTTTCTTTTTGGTATGGCCAACGAGAGAGGTATGCAATTCATCAAAATGGTTATTTTTATTCATTTTCAGGTTATTTTGCATTTTTTATACCCTCCACCATTCCTTTACTATCAAGTCTAGGGCTGTTTTGAACTGCAGGGAAGCCTTGGAAAACACTGGGTAGTCCATCAAGCTCTGCTGGGTTCCTGGCCATTATAACATCCCAGGTAACGAGACTGCAGACGAATTGGCCAGGCTAGCATCCGAATCAACTACAATTGAAGTAGACAACTCGATTAAACCACCATTGTGTCATTTCCTACAGGTCATTCACAGACATTACTCTGAGAGAATCCAACAAAAATGGCTGGACGAAATGGGATGCACCACCTCCAAAAGAATCTGGCCTACACTCTCAGAGAAGAGAACAAGATCACTGATGTTATTGTCAAAACCTGAATTAAAACTTGTGGTGGGTATCATCACAGGTCATTGTAAGGTGAGGGCTATGACATCGAAATGGCACAGCGACGTCATTGACTACTGTACGATCTGTCAAGATGAAAAAGAAATCGAGACAGTCGAACACTTGCTCTGCCACTGCCCAGCACTCATTAGTAATCCTTCGATTAGCCAGAAGATTCAAGTGGCTAAAGACGACACGGCAAACTCCTCAGCCGTAGATCACACTCCATAACTCTATCTCTTATCTTCACCTCTTCTACCAAACCACTTTTTCCTCTTTTCCTAACATTCTTCTAGGATGAACACAATGGACCTATAGGTCTCCAAGTGGAGCGGTTGCCATATGTCGATTTAGCGACGTCCGTCCGTCTATCCATCTCTGGAAATCACTCTAGCTTCCGAACGAAATGAAGTAGGATGATTACATTTTACTCAAATGTGTATTATGTCTGCAGGACTTTTAGAATTGAAAATGGGTTATGTAGGTCCACGTTTTGGTATAGCTCCATATAATTGTACCTCCCTATTTTCGTTATTTTGGTGATTTGAACGACATTATTCACCGGAAATATTTTAAATTTGATAATTTGGTATTTGACAGAATATTGTCAGTGCAAGTCCACACTTTCGTATAGACCCCATATAACAGTACCTCCCGATATTCAGAATTTTGATGATTTTAGCGACATTTTTAACCGGAATTGTTTCAAATTTAGTATTTGAAGTTCGTAATAGATATTACAGCCTAGGACAAAAAATTGTGCACGTCGTCGTATAGGCCCCATATAACGGTACATTCCGATGTTCGGTATTTCGATGATTTTAGCGACATTATTTACCGGAACTATTTCAAATTAGGTATTTGAAATTCGTAATAAATGCTACAGCCTATGACAGAAAATTTTCTGTGCAGGTCCACGTCTTCGTATAGCTCCCATATAAGGTCACCCCCGATATTCCGTATTTTGATGATGTTAGCGATAATATTCATTGGAATTGTTTCAAATTTGGTATTAGAAGTTCGTAATATATACTATAGCCTATGACAGACAATTATCTGTGCAGGTCCAGGTCTTCGTACAGTCCCCATATAACGGTACCTCCCAATATTCGGTATTTTAATTATTTTAGCGACATTATTTACCGGAATTGTTTCAAATTTGGTGTTTGAAGTTCGTAATGGATACTACAGCCTGTAACAGAAAATTGTCTGTGCAGGTCCAGGTCTTCGTACAGCCCCCATATAACGGTGCCCCCATATAACCGCACCTCCCTATATTCGGTATTTCGATGATTTTAGCGACATTATTCACCGGAGTTGTTTCAAATTTGTTATTTGAAGTTCCTAATGGGTATTATGCTCTATGACGGGAATTTGTCTATGCAGGTCTTGGTCTTCGTATAGCTCCCATGTAAAGGTACCTCCCCATATTCGTTATTTTGATTTTTTTTTTGATACATTATTCACTAGAGATGTTTAAAATTTCGTATTTAGAGTTTGTAATGGGTACTACAGCCTATGACATAAAATTTCCTATGCAGATCCAGGACTTCGTATATGCCCCATATATCGGAACCTCCCTATATTCGGTATTTTGACGATTTTAGGTACAATATTCACCGAAATTTTTTGGAATTTAATATTTTAAGTTCCTAATAGGTGCTACAGCCTGTGACAATAATAATTTCCTATGCAGGTCCACGTCTTCATATAGGCCCCATATATCAGTACCTCCCTATATTAGGCATTTTGATGATTTTAGCGACATTATTCACTTGTTTTTTTTTTCAAGTTTCGTACTTGAATATTGTATTGACCTATGACAAAAGTAACCTATTCAGGTCCACGTTCTCGTATAGACCCCATTATAATGGCTATATTCGATATTTTTAATATTTTTTTTTAATTTAAAAATTCGTTTTTTTTTAATTTAAAAAATGGAACTGTTTAACAATTAAATATGAAAAAATTTTAATTTACTTTTTCCCATAATTTTGTATTGCCCCTCGTAGCTCTAAATAAAAAAAGAGAACAATGTCCATGTTTCTTCCAACTCCCATCGATTTTGAAATTTTAATGACTCGCTTTTCGAAAAACAACGGTATAAAAATTCTTCTGATACGCGGCCCCAACTAAAAATAGGCTAAACATTTATTTTTCAAGGAAAACAAAATCACATTTAAATATTTGGTATGTACGCATTAAATGTTAGTTGGTGGGTTCGTTATATTTTATATTTTGCAGATAAAAAATTCTATCTTTCCGATTTGATTCCACATACAATGCATTGGGGACATTGATAACTAGGCAACTTTATCAGATATTGTTTTTGTAAAATATCTTTCGTCACATTCCAGCACTGCTGCCGAGGTATGATTAATTGAATTGAATTTATCGTGGATGGCATTGGTAACAAACGTGTGCAGAACACACTTTTTATATAAATAATTGAAGATTTTTTTAGGGGAGGGAAGATTTCACCGGAAATATTAATAATCCCTTGTGAAGTCGCGAGTTCCTTTTTAAGAATCCCTTAAAAGGCTTTCTTTTCTCATCTTCTATGCGAATACGCAGAAGAGCTACTTGTCCTCTAGACAAAGGCCTACTCGTCTACTAGGCAAAAGCATTGTCGTTTTCTATAGAAACTTCTAGTCTTCTCTAAGAAGACCTGCTTTTCCTATAAAGCAAGTCTTTTTGGTTTCCCATAAGAAGACCATCTGGTCTTCAATAAGAATTTAAGAACTTTTGGTCTTCGATAAGAAGAACTTCTCAATTTCTATAAGAAGACCTACTAGTCTTCTATGACAAGACATTCTGGTCTGTATGAAGTCTTTCAGGTTTCTGGGTTTCTACGAGTGAGGTTTTAATTTTTCTACGGGAAGTCCTTCTGGCCTTCTAAGAGAATATCTTTTGTTTTTCTGTGAAAAGGACTTTCGGTCTTCTATGACACGTCCCTCCGTTTCTGTCTCCGACTTTCCTGTCTCTAATCAAAAGACCTTCTGGTCTTCAATGAAGACCTTTTTTATGAGAATACCTTCAATTTCAATTCAAAATTGTATAGGTCCTTTAAAAATAGAAGTTCTTGAAAGCTAAAAATTGTTTTGTTTATTATTTTATTTATAATTGTTTTTTGTTTAATATTTATATTTATTAATATTTATATTAATTAATATTTATATTAATTTATACTTAAAACACAAGTTAAAATGCTAAAAGTTCTTTATATATTATGGCGCAAAACGCCATACGTCTCTGTTGTGTTGATACAGTTCGTTGTCGCTCACTGAAAAATGATAACAAAGGGTCATCTCATTCACAGCTGAGGTAAACAAGCACATATGATAACACGTGATTTACCAACACAAAAAAGAAGAAGAACCGAAGCCGTGAAAAAAATATTTTTATTGTAACTCGCTGTACATGTGTGGCGTATTTACTTTGTTTTAACCTAATATTGAATTAAAAAACAACACAAAATAAACAATAACGTAAGTGGATCCAGTATAAAATCCGATTAATGTCCTCTACCAGCGGAAAACCCCTGCCACTGGATGTTCGTTTGAGTAAAAAACTCTCATGGCTACTGCGACATGGATTGAAAAAAGAAGGCTTTCAGATACAGCCAGATGGTTTCATTAGAGTCGATGATCTATTGAAACATCCCAATTATTGTCGTGACTTTAGTTTGTCCACTTTGCAAAAGATTGTGGAACAGGATGCCAAACAGCGTTATACGCTACGCCAGAATCCCTTGCAGGGGTACTGGGAAATACGAGCCAATCAGGGTCATTCGTTGGATGAAATTCAATCCGATCAATGTTTGCAGTTAATTAACAACGCAGCAGAGGTGCCACTGGCTGTACATGGTACCTACTATCGTCATTGGCCAAGCATTAAAACCCATGGCTTAAAACGTTTCCAGCGTAATCATGTTCACTTTGCCACCAGTGATGACTGTTCGAATAACATAAGTGGATTTCGTTCCGATTGCCAGATTTTGATTTATTTAAATGTGGAAAAGATATTCAAGGAGGGCCAATTGAAATTATATCGTTCTGCTAATAATGTCATACTGTGTGGAGGTCTAGAGGATGGCTCAATACCCTGCAAATATTTCCTGAAAGTTGTGGATCGTCGTAGCGGCCAACATTTGGAATATTAGTATTGGTGTTGTTGTATTTGTATTTTACAAACAATAAAATTCTAGTCAATTTTTATTTGAAATTCATCAATTGTTTGTTCCATTTCTTTTAGGCTAAAGCAAAATTGAAATACCATGGCCAAAGATGTGGAAACATCAACTATTCCCAGCACACCATCAGTAGCAACAAGCGAAGAAGAGGAGCAATCCAACAAAAGTGACACAAAAGTACCCAAAAAATCACATGCAGCCGCCAATTTAAACAATCGCTGCAGTGTTTGTTTTCAACGCTTTACCACGCTGCAGGAATGCCTGAAACATGAACTACTTGAACATAGTTTACAAAAGAAGAATGGTGCCAAGAATGGCACCAACGTTGAAAGTCGCATTAAGGCAACGATAAAGTCGTTAAAATCTCAGGAGAAACAAGAGGAACGCAAAAAGGTACACACTGCCCTGGTGCAGTGTCAAAAGGGCCAAGAATTAATGGCCATAATGAAACATCTGTGCATGGACAACGATAGTTTGGTGTTGATATTTACGCGAATCCAAACGTGTTTGGAAAAGGAGTTACGTTTCTTGGGGTCAGTGAGAATATTTCCATTCGGTTCGATTGCCAGCCGCTTGGCATTGAGAGGTAAGAAATGGTTTATGTTATCAATACACAGTCAACAAAAAAAATTGGCACGACGCCTAAAGGTAGGCTTTACAAATTGGTATTTAAATGCGTGCATTGTTACCAGATTATATGGTCCAACATATTTTTATACCCTCCACCATAGAATAAGGGGATATTAAGTTTCTCATTCCGTTTGTATCACTTCGAAATATACATTTTAGAGCCCACAAAGTATATATGTTCTTGATCAGCATAAAATTTTATGTCGATTTAGAAATGTTCGTCCGTCTGTGGAAGTCACTCTAGCTTCCGAAAGAAATGAAGTACGTTAATAAAATTTTACTCAAATATATATTATGTCAGCAGGACTTTTGGTATTGAAAATGGGCTATGTAGGTCTACGTTTTGGTATAGCCCCCACACAACGGTACCTCTCGATATTCGGCATTTCGATGATATTAGCAACATTATTCACCGGAAATATTTCAAATTTGGTATTTGAAGTTCGTATTGGATACTACAGCCTGAGACAAAAAATTGTCTGTGCAGGTCTACGTCTTCGTATAGCCCTCATATGACCGTACCTCCCGATATTCAGTATTTTGATGATTTTAGCGACATTATTAACCGGAATTGTTTCAAATTAGGTATTTGAAGTTCGTAATGGATACTACAGCCTAAGACAGAAAATTGTCTGGGCAGGTCCACGTCTTCGTATAGCCCCCATACAACGGCACCTCCCGATATTCGGTATTTCGGTGGTTTTAGCGACATTATTCACCGAACTTTTTTCAAGTTTCGCATTTGTAATGGCTAATAATAATGGCTATAGATCCTAATTCGAACAGAATTTTTAAGGGATTTTATTTTTTGAAAATTGCCAAATTCGTTCCAAATTGTGGCCTTTAGAAGTTACAAAGTTACGAGTGCGATTTTTACTTCATGATGGATTTTTTTTTAAATTGCCACCATTAATAGGTCTTGTTCTGCTCGTAACAGTACACATTTATTCAAGGGAAATGCATTTTTTTTAAATCTCCCATAAAATATTTATAGAATGATTCTATACCGGTTAGCGGCAGGTATTTTTCTAAGACAAGCAGCTTTCGCCAAGGTCTTAAGGACAGATACAATACCGATAATTAATAAAATCTCTTATGGAATCAGGGACCATATGATACTTGGGAAATCCAGTACAGTGCAGTACATTGCGGAAAGAAAAGAAAAAAGTAGGGAATCCACTCAGCTCTGACTGTCCACAATCCGCGTTTGTTATTCTGATGGTAATTGAAAAAGATATTCTCTAAAAATCCACATTTGTAAAAAATATGTTTGTGGCTCTGATAGCCTCTTTTTAAATGCCATTAAAAAAATCACAAATTCAATAAATTTTTTGTCCCAAAATTCTTCCACAGATGCTGATATCGACATTTTCCTAGACGCATCAGAAATACCCACCAGAGATGACAAAAAATTAGCAACGCCACAGAAACGTGGTGCCTTCAATCGCATCAGTGCAGCTCTGCATCGCAGCCCGCTTTTTGTCGATGTTTTTGCCATACGCAATGCCCGTGTCCCGATCATCAAATGTAAACATCGTGACACAGGCTTCAGTATTGACATTAACATTTCATGTCCCAGCAGCATGGAGAATACCCAGTTTATCAGCGAATTGGTGCAGAATGATCGGCGGTTGCATGAACTTTTGCTGTTCCTAAAGTTGTGGGCTAAAAATATGCATATTATTGGTCGGGCCAATATGACCAGCTACTGTTTGATAACAATGATTATTTTCTATTTGCAACAGCCATTAAAATTGCCGGGTGGAGAACATCGTATCCTCAAATCGGTGAAATCCCTACAAAAAGACTGCCAAGCCCGTCTGGTTCAGGGCATAAATTATTCGTTTGATTTGAAAACCATGGCCAATAAACCAAAAATACCCAAAGGTTTTTCATCCCTGGATTTGATCAAGGGCTTCTTCAACTTCTACAAGAATTACAATTTCGAAGACAATCTAATATCGCCGTTTTATGGCAGATCTATTGTCAAAAAGGACTTTAATGAGGATAACTATAAGGAATACAGTAAACAACTGGTAACCATTGGCCAATATTTGAATGGTGTGCCGCCGGAGCCAATACAATTAGATCGCTGTATGTGTGTACAGGACTCATTTGGTCTGAATCACAATGTGGCCAGAAGCATGTTGCCACCCAATAAAAAATATTTTATTATGTGTCTGGAGAATGCAGCTGTAATATGTGAAAATCTCAACAAGACCACAGCCGGAGAAATTCTCGAAAAGCTTTTATATGAAACAATTGCTGTGGCGAACCCCAGTATTGAGAAACAAATTGTTTTGGCACAAAATCAAACGAATGCAAAAACTGTGGCAAATGACAACACCGGTGCTGGCAATGGCGTCACCATAGAATCAGCTAAATGTCTGGCCCACACAATGACACCTTCAAAATCCGATTTAAATATCCTAACCACTAGCCAAGCGTTAAACACCAATAATACCATGGATATTTTACGCTCCTGGTGTGATCACTACAAGGAGGCAATACAAAAAATGCTCACCGATTTCTTTCACATGGAACTGCAACCGGACAGTCATACGCCACAGAAACAACAGCGGCTGGAAAATGCACAGCTCAGCGAAAGTTGGCACATGAGTGCCAGTGTGGATTTGTGGTCGAATCGTTTCTTTCAAAAAACCACCCATCAAACATTCTGGGAATATCAAATGGCTCAAACGGAACGTTTGCATGCCATACGGCGACAAGATGCTAAATTTGCGGTGCAAATCAATGCCATATTGAGTATTGACATTGCGGCCGATTATACCAGTATAACGCTGAAAATCACGCTACCAGATGGTTCACCAACATCGAGTCTCAATAAAAGAGATCCATTGAGGAAATTTTTCAATATCTTCCGCAATACATTACAGAATTATGGGTTAAAAGATGCTTTGGATAAAAGCGAGGAGGCTAAGACGACGAAGCCCTTGGATGGGGACCTAACAGCAAATGACGTAAAGTCGTAATCTCTAGTAGAGCATCACATTAGATGGTGTCGTGTTTTATTTATGGATTTGCAATTTGCACTCAATTTTTCATAGATTTTTCCCATTTAGTATTTTAACGATTATTTTAAACACTTTATGTTTATAATCATTTTCCTAGCTTACCCAAGTCTGTGGGTATATGATTTTTTTTTTTTTGAATAAGTTACTTTTAATACATATGAATTAAGACAAAAATGCTAAAATGTGTTCTTATTTCAGACTACATGGGAAAAAACTAAACGTCCATCAAATATGAAAGAATTAATTTTTGTTCTCAACAAATTCTATCGACAGAGGATGTGTTCCAGAAATGAAAAGTATTTAACCATCAAAAAGAAACTTAAAGAATTCTACCCAATTTCAGTCACCACAACGCTTAACAGAACAAAAATTCCATGGTCGTGGTCCCACTCTGTTTATCTAAACGACATCCTTACAGTTATGTCTCGATGCGTTGTAAAGGATGTGAAAATTCACATTTGTTGTACTCCTACGTTGTTTAATACCCTCCAACATAGTATGGAGGGTATATTAAGTTTGTCATTCCGTTTGTAACACCTCGAAATATACATTTTAGACACCGCAAAGTATCTATATTCTTGATCAGCATATAATTCTATGTCGATTTTTCGACATTTTTCGATTTCTGTGGCTTCCGAACAAAATGAGGTAGGCTGATAATTTGTTTTTCAAATGTATATTATGTCTGCAGGACTTTTGGTATTGAGGAGCCATGTAGGTCTACGATTTGGTATAGCCCCCATATATAACGGTTCCTCCCGATATTCGGTATTTTGATGATTTTAGGGGCATTATTAACCGGAGTTGTTTCCAATTTCGTATTTGGAATTCGTAATGGATACTACAGCCTATGATAAATTGCAGGCTCACATCTTCGTATAACCTCCATATAACGGTACCTCCCAATATTATTCACCCGAGTAGTTTCAAATTACGTAGAGTTCGTAGTGGGTACTACAGTCTGTGGCAGAAAATTGTCTATGCAGGTCCAGGTCTATACGAAGACCTCATATATCAGTACCTCCTACAGCCTGTGACAGAAAATATTCTATGTAGGTCCAGGTCTTCGTATAGCTCCGACATAACAGCACCTCCCGATATTCGGTACTTTGGTGATTTAAGCACAATTCACCGGAATTGTTTCAAGTTTCGCATTTGAATATTGTAATGGCGTATGACAAAAGTTGCCTATGCTGGTCCACGTGGTTGTATCGACCCTAATATAACGGCTACATTCGGTATTTTTAAGTTTTTAAGGGATCCACCATAGTATGGAGGGTATATTAAGTTTGTCATTCCATTTGTAACACCCCGAAATATACATTTTATACCCCACAAAGTATATATATTCTTGATCAGCATAAAATTCTACGTCAATTTAGCGATGTCCGTCCGTCTGTGGCAATCACTCTAGCTTCCGAACGAATTGAAGTAGAACAATAAAATTTTGCTAAATGTATGTTATTTCTCCAGGAATTTTGGTATTGAAAATGGGCCATGTAGATCCACGTTTTGGTATAGCCCACATATAACGGTACCTCCCGACATTATTCACCGGAATAGTTTCAAATTTGGTATTTGAAGTTCGTAATGGATACTACAGCCTAAGACAGTCTTCCTAGAGCCCCCATATAACGATGCCTCCCGATATTCGGTATTTTAATGATTTTATGGACATTTTTTCACCAGAATTGTTTCAAATTTGGTATTTCAAGTTCGTAATGGATACTACCGCCTATGACAGAAATTTGTCTGTGCAGGTCCACGTCTTCGTATATGCCCCATATAACGGTACCTCCCGATATTCGGTATTTTAATGATTTTAGCGAATTTATTTACCAGAATTGTTTCAAATTTGGTATTTGAATTTCGAAATGGATACTACAGCCTATGACAGAAAATTGTCTGTGCAGGTCCACGTCTTCGTATAGCCCCCATATGACGGTACCTCCCGATATTCGGCATTTTGATGATTTTAAGGACATTTTCACCAGAATTGTTTCAAATTTATATTTGAAATCTGTAATGGATACTACAGCCTAAGTCAGAAAATTGTGTGTGCAGGTCCACCTCTTCGTATAGCCCCCATATAACGATACCTCTCGATATTCGGTATTTTAATGATTTTAGGGACATTATAACCGATTTTTTTAAGTTTCGGCTTATGACAAATGTTACCTACGGTTCAGGATCATGTCGTCTTATAGACCCTATTATAATAGCTACATTTGGTATTTTTAAGATTTTAACAGAATTTTTAACGGATTTTATTGTTTTTGAGAATTGCCAAATTCGTTCTAATTGGTGGAGGGTATTCAAAGTTCGGCCCGGCCACTAAGTGGTCAGGGTATTATGTCTTGGTGCATTTGAACCATAGTTCCATTTGATGATCTGCATATAATCACATTCTGAGTCGATTTCAACATCCATGTATTCCTGTATAACAAGTACGGGTCGCATTTATTATCCGATCCAGAATTCATTTGTTTGACCCAAGGATGAGCCCTATTGAAATTGGAGATAATCAGTCAACCTATAAATATAGCTTCCATATATATCTTCGTCCGATTTGCCTTTTATTGTGCACCAATCGTGAAATTTTAGCCCAAATGGGATGAAATTTGGCACTTACTAAATTTGGTGGAGATAGGTTCAGAAATAGCTATAGCTCCCATATACATTGTTCATCGGATTTGTTATATTTGTTTTCCACAGCCGTAATATGCATTCCGTAACAACGATTTGTAAATTTAATCGAGATCGGTTTAGATTTGGATATAGCTCCCAGATATAATATGTGTTATTGATGTTCAATTTTTTGTTTCAATAAAACGCCTTTACTTTAGTATAAAAAATACGTTATTTATTTATTTAATATTTTTTTCAATAATATATTCTACAGATGTATAGTTTAAAGAGTAAGAAAAATAAAGCTCTTGGTAAAGTTGTTCTTTAAATTTAATATATTTACATTTTGTTTAAATTACGTTTAGTTGGTTGGTATTTATGTTGGAATTGGAATTCTAACGTTTTCTTTTTTTAGAGGAACTAATATAGTTTTAAATTAATTATTTTTTGTATGGCATTTAATATTTGTCTTGGCATTGTTTTTTTTTTGCTCACATATATTTATTAGCTATTTAATAAAAATGTTGTCCTTATATAAGAAAATTATAATAGATATGCTTAGTTGTGTTGGCTAATTGAAAAAAAAAAAAAAACGAGAAAATTGGCTACTTAAAAATTACGTTTAAGATTAAATTTTTAAGAATTGCTATACACTGCGCTGTACATTTTGAGCAAAGTTTTTGTTTTGTTTTTTGTTTTGAGGTTGGAGATAAGGGGTTTTTAGAGGGGGATTATGGAAAAGTGTAGGGAAGATGTTATAGTCGAAGATATCCGGGACTTCTATGGGAAGATCTACAGAATTTCTTTGAGGTAATTTTTCGAAGTGTGTCCTCTTCAAGTTAAAATTGAATTTTTGTTATCTATGATTTTGCATTTTTTTTTTTGTTATTTCCATTTACTAATTGTTAGGTAAATATTTTTTCCAAGAAAAAAATTCAAAATAATAATCATTTTGAAAATAGATTATGATCCCAAAAATTATCAAGAACTCTCGAGAATTCTTCTAAATGACAATCGACGCTGCAGGTTCAACAATGGGAATTTCATGAGTGAACTCACCATTTTGGCGTTTCAAATCGCTGTATTCGTTCAAGCTACTGAAATGACTGGATATACTCAATATTAAGCATATTTTTCTCGTATCGATAGACAGATGGGGTAAGTTATCCTCCTATTGTAATTATGTATGACACACTTAATATTTCTTCTCACAGATGTTCTGACAGCAACTGGAAATCATATTACAGACAATCTGCGGATATTCACAAAAAAAGACTTGGGGATCTGATGATACTGATATTGATATTCTATTGGCAGATATACAGGTCTTCTATGGAAAGAAATGAATAAATTCTCACAAATTGTCTCATAAACTTCTCATAGAAAAACTGGAAACCTTCTCACAGGCAATCTACGGATATTTCCAAAAAAAAAAAAAAAAAAAAAAAAAACGTGGATATCGGGACCGATGGCAGATAAAAGGACCTCTATGGAAAGATCAGAAAAAAATTCTCAAAGATAGTCTGAAGAACTTCTCATAGAGCAATTGGAAATCTTCTCACAGAAAATGTGTGGATATTAGATGATACTGATCGTAATATTCTATTGGCAGATATACAGGTCTTCCATGAAAAGATCAAAATAAATTCTTTCAGGTAATCTCTTTGAATTTATTCAACCAAAAATATTTTTAAATCCAATTTTTTTCTATTGTGTCCGGCAGGAAATAAATAGCTCTTCAAGGGTTCTGAATTACAACTGGCGAAATGAAAGGGCTGTATGTACGCATGACTTAACATCTTGTAAGCATGGCTAGAAAAATGTAGTAAGTAATCTGATGGATACATATATGACTGACTCATCTTTCCATAGAACAACTGCGAAACTACTCACAGAAGATCTGTGGAGATTTTCCAAAAATGTTTGTTGGTCTTTGAAGAAATATTCTTTGAAGATCTGTGGAAATTCTCCAAAAATGTCTGTTGATCTGTTGGACTTCGAAGAAATATTTTTTAAAGATCTGTGGAAATTCTCCATAAATGTCTGTTGGTCTTCGAAGAAATATTTTTGTAAAGATCCACGCCTATTAGCCTCCGGGTCCTTGAAAAAATATTCTGTAAAAATCCACGCCTATTGGCCTCTGGGTCCTTGAAAAAATATTCTGTAAAAATCCACGCCTATTGGCCTCTGGATCCTTGAAAAAACATTCTGTAAAAATCCACGCTTCTAGGTCTGTTGGTCCTTGAAAAACTATTCTGTAAAAATCCATGCCTATTGGTCTGTTGGTCCTTGAAAAAATATTCTTGTAAAAATCCAAGCTTCTAGGTCTGTTAGTCCTTGAAAAAATATTCTTTTAAAAATCCATGCTTCTAGGTCGGTTGGTCCTTGAAAAAATATTCTTTAAAAATCCAAGCCAATAGGCCTCTGGGTTCTTGAAAAAATATTCTTTAAAAATCCACGCCTATTGGTCTGTTGGTCATCGAAAAAATATTCTTTAAAAATCCACGCCTATTGGTCTGTTGGTCATCGAAAAAATATTCTTTAAAAATCCACGCCTATTGGTCTGTTGGTCATCGAAAAAATATTCTTTAAAAATCCACGCCTATTGGTCTGTTGGTCATCGAAAAAATATTCTTTAAAAATCCACGCCTATTGGTCTGTTGGTCATCGAAAAAATATTCTTTAAAAATCCACGCCTATTGGTCTGTTGGTCATCGAAAAAATATTCTTTAAAAATCCACGCCTATTGGTCTGTTGGTCATCGAAAAAATATTCTTTAAAAATCCACGCCTATTGGTCTGTTGGTCATCGAAAAAATATTCTTTAAAAATCCACGCCTATTGGTCTGTTGGTCATCGAAAAAATATTCTTTAAAAATCCACGCCTATTGGTCTGTTGGTCATCGAAAAAATATTCTTTAAAAATCCACGCCTATTGGTCTGTTGGTCATCGAAAAAATATTCTTTAAAAATCCACGCCTATTGGTCTGTTGGTCATCGAAAAAATATTCTTTAAAAATCCACGCCTATAAGCCTCTGGGTCCGCGAAAAAAATATTCTGTAAGAATCCAAGCCTATTGGTCTGTTGGTCCTTGAAAAAATATTCTTTAAAAATCTACGCCTATTAGAATCTGAGTCCTTGAAAAAATATTCTTTAAATATCTACGCCTATTAGAATCTGTGTCCTTGAAAAAATATTCTTTAAAAATCCACGCCTATTGGACTGTTGGGCATTGAAAAAATATTTTTTAAAAATCTACGCCTATTGGTCTGTTGGGCATTGAAAAATTATTCTTTAAAAATCTACGCTTATTAGAATCTGAGTCCTTGAAAAAATATTCTTTAAAAATCTACGCCTATTAGAATCTGTGTCCTTGAAAAAATATTCTTTAAAAATCCACGCCTATTGGTCTGTTGGGCATTGAAAAAATATTTTTTAAAAATCTACGCCTATTGGTCTGTTGGGCATTGAAAAATTATTTTTTAAAAATCCACGCCTATTGGTCTGTTTGTCCTTGAAAAATATTCTTTAAAAATCCACGCCTTTTGGTCCGTTGGTCCTTGAAAAAATACTCTTTAAAAATCCTCGCCTATTGGTCTGTTGGTCCTTGAAAAAATATTTTTTAAAAATCCACGCCTTTTGGTCCGTTGGTCCTTGAAAAAATACTCTTTAAAAATCCTCGCCTATTGGTCTGTTGGTCCTTGAAAAAATATTTTTTTAAAATCCACGCTTCTGTTGGTCCTTAAAAAAATACTCTTTGAAAATCCTCGCCTATTGGTCTGTTGGTCCTTGAAAAAATATTTTTTTTAAATCCACGCTTCTGTTGGTCCTTAAAAAAATACTCTTTAAAAATCCTCGCCTATTGGTCTGTTGGTCCTTGAAAAAATATTTTTTTTAAAATCCACGCTTCTGTTGGTCCTTAAAAAAATATTCTTTAAAAATCCACGCCTATTGGTCTGTTGGTCCTTGAAAAAATATCTTCGAAAAGTAGATTTAAAACTTTCTTTCCCCACATCCCCCTTTCCAACATTATCTCCATACCTCTCTGGTCCGGTTACATGCTAAATTCTTTTATATACAAAATTCGCTAACGTTAAAAACAAAACAAACAAAAAAAAAAAAAAAAATCAAAATTAAAAATCTAAAATCTCTTAATCTGTCATATGTTCCGATTGCTTGTAAAACGTCCTCTTCACATACTTCTCAAAAAAGCTGTGAAATTTTCTTCCTCTTTCCCAAGCGTACCAACACCTTGTGCAGCTGAGGTAACTTATGCTAGAAAATCTTTTTACGACACGAACAATACTTTTTCGCTCCACCATCCGACACACAATCCGAATCACTGGCATAGGTGTTGAGACGACTTATCTCCCCTGTGACCTCCATAAAACCCGTAATGGGATCATAGATGGCTGTGGCCTCAAAGAGACCCTTATTTGGTTTTGTGTAGAAGGTTACCCGATAAATATCCACCGTTTTGGTTGTGCCATTGTCATGGCTCTCCAGCTGGGTGGTGCGATATGCGCTATCGACACAGTCAAATTTCAAAGGTACACATAGTTTGGCATAGGTTCTATTGTGGAAGGTGGCCACAAAGTCATTGATATAGCCGATAAGTAAATGGGTCAGATCCAATACCGTTTTGGAATTCTTGTAGATATTCTCGTACAGCAGACATGTACACCAGTGTGGCTCTATGGCTGCATCTTGGCAGGAACGATTGTGGGGTACTGGTCTCAGCAATGACTGGCATTTGGGGCAGGCATCGGCTGGTGTCAGTTTTGTGGCGTCCTTGACACGCCCCGTCATTTCCAAAATATGTTTCAGCGTCATGTGTGTGTCATAGGGATTGGTTAGACGATTCTTATTAGCATTCAAGGCATTTACCAGACTAGGATATTTATTTCTCAACCTTGGTGGCAGCCACAGGAACACAAACGGCAAACGCTCCTCCAAGTGGCCGGAATAGGTTTTACGTATGGGCCCAAAACGCATACCATGATCACTGAAAAATATCACAATGGTGTTCTCCAGTGTACCCATCTGCTTGAACCGCTTCAGGTATTCCCGAATGTGTTCATCCATCGAAGTACAATCGCTAATGTCATTGTGGCTAAAGGTGTTGGCCCAAAACAAACCAAAGAAGGTGTCATTCTTGTAACGCCGCGCCAACTCCACGGCATAATCATAGACATGATCGGCCGCATGTTTGTAGCCCAGACAACTAATCAGGCCCGACTTTGTCCGAGTCTCTAGATGTTTTTCTGCTCCCAGTAGAAAAGGCCGAAGGTAATAGTCCACCGGAGGTTCAGCAAACCCCACTTTTAGATAATTAAAAGTATTTATGGTGGCCTCATCCTCTGCATAGGCTGTCACATAGCCATGCTCACGATAGGTCTTCCATATAAAATCACAATTATCTAGGCCATTCAGTTTGTAGGGAGAACATTTTTGCATGGCCGTTGTGCGATTCATACCCGTCAGCACTGCCATGAGGTTGGGAAAGGTGTTGTCATCGATCTGCAAATCAAAATAAAGAAGAATTTTTGAAAATGAAATATTTCAGTGGCTTGAAAAAGCTTTCTATAAAAATACAAAATTTTTTGAAAAAACGCTCCACGCTCCTAGGTCTGTTGGTCCTTAAAAAAAATTTTAAAGATCCACGCTTCTAGGTCTGTTGGTCCTTAAAATAAATTTTAAAGATCCACGCTTCTAGGTCTGTTGGTCCTTAAAATAAATTTTAAAGATCCACGCTTCTAGGTCTGTTGGTCCTTAAAATAAATTTTAAAGATCCACGCTTCTAGGTCTGTTGTTCCTTAAAAACAATTTTAAACATCCACGCTTCTAGGTCTGTTGGTCCTATATTTTTTTTTAAATCCACGCTTCTAGGTCTGTTGGTCCTAAAAAATATATATTTTTTTTAAAAATCCACGCTTCTGTGTCTGTTGGTCGTTAAAAAAATATGTTTTAAAAATCCACGCTTCTATGTCTGTTGGTGGTTAAAAAATATGTTTTAAAAATCCACGCTTCTAGGTCTGTTGGTCCTAAAAAATATATATTTATTTTAAAAATCCACGCTTGTATGTCTGTTGGTTGTTAAAAAAATATGTTTTAAAAATCCACGCTTCTATGTCTGTTGGTGGTTAAAAAATATGTTTTAAAAATCCACGCTTCTAGGTCTGTTGGTCTTTAAAAATATTTTTTTAAAAATCCACGCTTCTAGGTCTGTTGGTCTTTAAAAATATTTTTTAAAAATCCACGCTTCTGTGTCTGTTGGTGGTTAAAAAATATTTTTTAAAAATCCATGCTTCTAGGTCTGTTGGTCTTTAAAAATATTTTTAAAAATCCATGCTTTTAGGTCTGTTGGTCTTTAAAAATATTTTTAAAAATCCACGCTTTTAGGTCTGTTGGTCTTTAAAAATATGTTTTAAAAATCCACGCTTCTATGTCTGTTGGTGGTTAAAAATATGTTTTAAAAATCCACGCTTTTAGGTCTATTGGTCGTTAAAAAATATTTTTTAAAAATCCACGCTTCTAGGTCTGTTGGTCGTTAAAAAATATTTTTTAAAAATCCACGCTTCTAGGTCTGTTGGTTGTTAAAAAATATTTTTTAAAAATCCAGGCTTCTAGGTCTGTTGGTCCTAAAAATATTTTTTAAAAATCCACGCTTCTGGGTCTATTGGTCCTAAAAAATATTTTTTAAAAATCAACGCTTCTAGGTCTGTTGGTCTTAAAAAAAATATTTTTTAAAAATCCACGCTTCTAGGTCTGTTGGTCTTTAAAAATATTTTTTAAAAATCCACGCTTCTATGTCTGTTGGTGGTTAAAAAATATGTTTTAAAAATCCACGCTTCTAGGTCTGTTGGTCTTTAAAAATATTTTTTAAAAATCCACGCTTCTATGTCTGTTGGTGGTTAAAAAATATGTTTTAAAAATCCACGCTTCTAGGTCTGTTGGTCTTTAAAAATATTTTTTAAAAATCCACGCTTCTATGTCTGTTGGTGGTTAAAAAATATGTTTTAAAAATCCACGCTTCTATGTCTATTGGTCGTTAAAAAACATTTTTTAAAAATCCACGCTTCTAGGTCTGTTGGTCTTTAAAAATATTTTTTAAAAATCCACGCTTCTATGTCTGTTGGTGGTTAAAAATATGTTTTAAAAATCCACGCTTTTAGGTCTATTGGTCGTTAAAAAATATTTTTTAAAAATCCACGCTTCTAGGTCTGTTGGTCTTAAAAAAAATATTTTTTAAAAATCCACGCTTCTAGGTCTGTTGGTCTTTAAAAATATTTTTTAAAAATCCACGCTTCTATGTCTGTTGGTGGTTAAAAATATGTTTTAAAAATCCACGCTTCTAGGTCTGTTGGTCTTTAAAAATATTTTTTAAAAATCCACGCTTCTATGTCTGTTGGTGGTTAAAAATATGTTTTAAAAATCCACGCTTCTAGGTCTGTTGGTCTTAAAAAAATATTTTTTAAAAATCCACGCTTCTAGGTCTGTTGGTCTTTAAAAATATTTTTTAAAAATCCACGCTTCTATGTCTGTTGGTGGTTAAAAATATGTTTTAAAAATCCACGCTTCTATGTCTGTTGGTGGTTAAAAAATATGTTTTAAAAATCCACGCTTCTAGGTCTGTTGGTCTTTAAAAATATTTTTTAAAAATCCACGCTTCTATGTCTGTTGGTTGTTAAAAAAATATGTTTTAAAAATCCACGCTTCTATGTCTGTTGGTGGTTAAAAAATATGTTTTAAAAATCCACGCTTCTAGGTCTGTTGGTCTTTAAAAATATTTTTTTAAAAATCCACGCTTCTAGGTCTGTTGGTCTTTAAAAATATTTTTTAAAAATCCACGCTTCTGTGTCTGTTGGTGGTTAAAAAATATTTTTTAAAAATCCATGCTTCTAGGTCTGTTGGTCTTTAAAAATATTTTTAAAAATCCATGCTTTTAGGTCTGTTGGTCTTTAAAAATATTTTTAAAAATCCACGCTTTTAGGTCTGTTGGTCTTTAAAAATATGTTTTAAAAATCCACGCTTCTATGTCTGTTGGTGGTTAAAAATATGTTTTAAAAATCCACGCTTTTAGGTCTATTGGTCGTTAAAAAATATTTTTTAAAAATCCACGCTTCTAGGTCTGTTGGTCGTTAAAAAATATTTTTTAAAAATCCACGCTTCTAGGTCTGTTGGTTGTTAAAAAATATTTTTTAAAAATCCACGCTTCTAGGTCTGTTGGTCTTTAAAAATATTTTTTAAAAATCCACGCTTCTATGTCTGTTGGTGGTTAAAAAATATGTTTTAAAAATCCACGCTTCTAGGTCTGTTGGTCTTTAAAAATATTTTTTAAAAATCCACGCTTCTATGTCTGTTGGTGGTTAAAAAATATTTTTTAAAAATCCACGCTTCTATGTCTGTTGGTGGTTAAAAAATATGTTTTAAAAATCAACGCTTCTAGGTCTGTTGGTCTTTAAAAATATTTTTTAAAAATCCACGCTTCTATGTCTGTTGGTGGTTAAAAAATATTTTTTAAAAATCCACGCTTCTATGTCTGTTGGTGGTTAAAAAATATGTTTTAAAAATCCACGCTTCTAGGTCTGTTGGTCTTTAAAAATATTTTTTAAAAATCCACGCTTCTATGTCTGTTGGTGGTTAAAAATATGTTTTAAAAATCCACGCTTCTATGTCTGTTGGTGGTTAAAAAATATGTTTTAAAAATCAACGCTTCTAGGTCTGTTGGTCTTTAAAAATATTTTTTAAAAATCCACGCTTCTATGTCTGTTGGTGGTTAAAAAATATTTTTTAAAAATCCACGCTTCTATGTCTGTTGGTGGTTAAAAAATATGTTTTAAAAATCCACGCTTCTAGGTCTGTTGGTCTTTAAAAATATTTTTTAAAAATCCACGCTTCTATGTCTGTTGGTGGTTAAAAATATGTTTTAAAAATCCACGCTTCTATGTCTGTTGGTGGTTAAAAAATATGTTTTAAAAATCCACGCTTCTAGGTCTGTTGGTCTTTAAAAATATTTTTTAAAAATCCACGCTTCTATGTCTGTTGGTGGTTAAAAAATATGTTTTAAAAATCCACGCTTTTAGGTCTGTTGGTCTTTAAAAATATTTTTAAAAATCCACGCTTTTAGGTCTGTTGGTCTTAAAAAAATATTTTTTAAAAATCCACGCTTCTAGGTCTGTTGGTCTTTAAAAATATTTTTTAAAAATCCACGCTTCTATGTCTGTTGGTGGTTAAAAATATGTTTTAAAAATCCACGCTTCTATGTCTGTTGGTCTTAAAAAAATATTTTTTAAAAATCCAAGCTTCTAGGTCTGTTGGTCTTTAAAAATATTTTTTAAAAATCCACGCTTCTATGTCTGTTGGTGGTTAAAAATATGTTTTAAAAATCCACGCTTCTATGTCTGTTGGTGGTTAAAAATATGTTTTAAAAATCCACGCTTTTAGGTCTATTGGTCGTTAAAAAATATTTTTTAAAAATCCACGCTTCTAGGTCTGTTGGTCGTTAAAAAATATTTTTTAAAAATCCACGCTTCTAGGTCTGTTGGTTGTTAAAAAATATTTTTTAAAAATCCAGGCTTCTAGGTCTGTTGGTCCTAAAAATATTTTTTAAAAATCCACGCTTCTGGGTCTATTGGTCCTAAAAAATATTTTTTAAAAATCAACGCTTCTAGGTCTGTTGGTCTTAAAAAAAATATTTTTTAAAAATCCACGCTTCTAGGTCTGTTGGTCTTTAAAAATATTTTTTAAAAATCCACGCTTCTATGTCTGTTGGTGGTTAAAAAATATGTTTTAAAAATCCACGCTTCTATGTCTATTGGTCGTTAAAAAATATTTTTTAAAAATCCACGCTTCTAGGTCTGTTGGTCTTTAAAAATATTTTTTAAAAATCCACGCTTCTATGTCTGTTGGTGGTTAAAAATATGTTTTAAAAATCCACGCTTTTAGGTCTATTGGTCGTTAAAAAATATTTTTTAAAAATCCACGCTTCTAGGTCTGTTGGTTTTAAAAAAAATATTTTTTAAAAATCCACGCTTCTATGTCTGTTGGTGGTTAAAAATATGTTTTACAAATCCACGCTTTTAGGTCTATTGGTCGTTAAAAAATATTTTTTAAAAATCCACGCTTCTAGGTCTGTTGGTCTTAAAAAAATATTTTTTAAAAATCCACGCTTCTAGGTCTGTTGGTCTTTAAAAATATTTTTTAAAAATCCACGCTTCTATGTCTGTTGGTGGTTAAAAATATGTTTTAAAAATCCACGCTTCTAGGTCTGTTGGTCTTAAAAAAATATTTTTTAAAAATCCACGCTTCTAGGTCTGTTGGTCTTTAAAAATATTTTTTAAAAATCCACGCTTCTATGTCTGTTGGTGGTTAAAAATATGTTTTAAAAATCCACGCTTCTATGTCTGTTGGTGGTTAAAAAATATGTTTTAAAAATCCACGCTTCTAGGTCTGTTGGTCTTTAAAAATATTTTTTAAAAATCCACGCTTCTATGTCTGTTGGTGGTTAAAAATATGTTTTAAAAATCCACGCTTTTAGGTCTATTGGTCGTTAAAAAATATTTTTTAAAAATCCACGCTTCTAGGTCTGTTGGTCTTAAAAAAAATATTTTTTAAAAATCCACGCTTCTATGTCTGTTGGTGGTTAAAAATATGTTTTAAAAATCCACGCTTTTAGGTCTATTGGTCGTTAAAAAATATTTTTTAAAAATCCACGCTTCTAGGTCTGTTGGTCTTAAAAAAATATTTTTTAAAAATCCACGCTTCTAGGTCTGTTGGTCTTTAAAAATATTTTTTAAAAATCCACGCTTCTATGTCTGTTGGTGGTTAAAAATATGTTTTAAAAATCCACGCTTCTAGGTCTGTTGGTCTTAAAAAAATATTTTTTAAAAATCCACGCTTCTAGGTCTGTTGGTCTTTAAAAATATTTTTTAAAAATCCACGCTTCTATGTCTGTTGGTGGTTAAAAATATGTTTTAAAAATCCACGCTTCTATGTCTGTTGGTGGTTAAAAAATATGTTTTAAAAATCCACGCTTCTATGTCTGTTGGTCTTTAAAAATATTTTTTAAAAATCCACGCTTCTATGTCTGTTGGTGGTTAAAAAATATGTTTTAAAAATCCACGCTTCTAGGTCTGTTGGTCGTTAAAAATGTTTTTTTAAAAATCCACGCTTCTAGGTCTGTTGGTCGTTAAAAAATATTTCTTAAAAATCCACGCTTCTAGGTCTGTTGGTCTTTAAAAATATTTTTTAAAAATCCACGCTTCTAGGTCTGTTGGTCTTTAAAAATATTTTTTAAAAATCCACGCTTTTAGGTCTGTTGGTCTTTAAAAATATTTTTTTAAAAATCCTCGCTTTTCTCTAGGTCTTTAGGTCCTTTAAAAAAAGTATTCTTTAAAAATCCACTCTTCTAGGTCTTTAAGTCCTTTAAAAAAGTATTCTTTAAAAATCCACTCTTCTAGGTCTTTAGGTCCTTTAAAAAAAATTCTTTAAAAATCCACTCTTCTAGGTCTTTAGCTCATTTAAAAAAATATTATTTAAAAATCCGCTCTTCTAGGTCTTTAGGTCCTTTAAAAAAATATTCTTTAAAAATCCACGCTTCTAGGTCCTTAGGTCCTTTACAAAAATATTCTTTAAAAATCCACTCTTCTAGGTATTTAGGTCCTTTAAAAAATATTCTTTAAAAATCCACGCTTCTCGGTCTTTAGGTCCTTTAAAAAATATTCTTTAAAAATCCACGCTTCTAGATCCTTAGGTCCTTTAAAAAATATTCTTTAAGAATCCACTCTTCTAGGTCTTTAGGTCCTTTAAAAAAATATTCTTTAAAATTCCACTCCTATTCGTCTCTGGGTCCTTGAAAAAATATTCTTTAAAAATCCACGTCTATTGGTCTGTGGGTCCTTGAAAAAATATTCTTTAAAAATCCACGTCTATTGGTCTCTGGGTCCTTGGAAAAATATTATTTAAAAATCCACGCCTATTGGTCTCTGGGTCCTTGAAAAAATATTCTTTAAAAATCCACGTCTATTGGTCTCTGGGTCCTTGAAAAAGTATTCTTTAAAAATCCACGCCTATTTGGTCTGTTGGTCCTTAAAAAAATATTCTTTAAAAATCCACTCTCCTTTTTTGCCATAAAATCTTTAGTCGTGCTTTTGAGGACCTTCCTCTCTTACTCACCTTATTGAATCCGCTCATTTCGTACCACTCATTCTCGTAGAGATATCGCGCTGTTTTCGGCATCGCTCGTATCAGATTCACTCTGGATATGCTATCAATGCCAATCATCAAAACACTGGGTGGCTTATCCTCAGCCTTGGAATCCTGATCATATTTACGCCACATATTTAAACGTTCACGGATCTCCCGACGTTCTGGCATCATGGCATGGCCGTTGACATAGACCTGTTTATTACCGGAGCGGCATTTAACCAAAATATTATCGATGGAGGGATCCAGCGAAGTCTTGTCCACAAAACTCATGCACTCCGAAAGCCTAGGAAGGATTAGAGGTTAGAAGTTGAAAAGAAAGATTGTCTCAAGTATGGGGACATGTCGTGAGTTAGCAAGAGAGAGAGAGAGAGAGAGAGAGAGTGAGAAAGAGAGAGAGACAAAAAAACCCTTACCTTACCTAACTACACTGTCGGCCTTGGTCCCGGTCTCATTGCGCAGAATCGACTGATAACAACAGTCCACCTTGCCAGTTTTACTATAGCCTGGTATAACTTCCTCATCGATGCGCAGGGTGTAACGCTGGCTGGTGGTATTGAAATCGATTTTGGTCAAGGGATCCAACAGCTTGCAGGGTTTGTATTTTTGACGATGGAAATTTTTCATGACATCCGGTAGATAGGGGTCCAAATTGGGCATTTTACAGAATTCACTCCAAACCAAATAACCTTTGGGTGGTGGGTCATTAAAATCGTCCATTGTAGAAACGGGAGAGGAGGTGGTGTTATTATTTATAAGAGGTTCCATATGAGTAGAGGTAGTTGCAAGATACGGTCCAGCAGTTGAGGATAAAGAGGACAGAGAAACAGAAATGTTTTTAGTTTTTTGAATGAGATTCGTATTGGTTTTTGTATTATTTTTCGACACAGCTTCAGACAATTGCTCTGAATGACGAATACTTGCTGTTCGGTTACTGTTTGTCGTTGCAGGCTTTGTTATTTTTTTCTTATCCTTTTTGGAATTTGTATTTTTATTGGCTTTTGGCTTGTCGGGCAGCAGTGATGTTAAATTTTTGAAAACTTTTTTTTTTCAATTTTGCGAATAACGAAAACAATACAAACGCAAACAATGGTAATGGTGTCGGTGGTAATTAACAGAAAAAATATTAAAAAGTAATTTTTTTGTTTTTTTTTTTTTTTTTGCAGGCCACAGGACGTACACAATCAATTTTATACAGACACACACAATAGACAATAGGCAAAAGGACGATGACAAAATTTGCAGGTGTACAAAAAAAGAAAAAAAGAACGGAAATGAATCAAAAATACTCATTAAGAAAAAGAAATAAATATTTGCTTGCAGCTTTTTAATTTTAATAGTATTTTGCATATGAGCTATGTATGGGTACTTATTTACATGTATATGTATATGTATGCATGATGTATGTATGAGATATGGAAATGAAATGTGGAATTCTAGCTGTTTAAAGAGGCCTATGACGAGGGCTTGTATTCAAACCAAAAAACCTATTCAAATAATTATTTTGATCGGTAAAAAGTAGATTTTTAAAGGATATTTGTTCAAGGACCAACAGACCTATAACAGTGGATTTTGACAGAATACATTTTCAAGGACCATGAAATCAAAAAACTTGGGTTTTTAAAGAATTTTTTTTCTAGAACCAATAGACTATTAAACATGGGTTTTCAAAGAATATTTTCACGGACCAACAGACCAATAAGAGGGGACTTTTAAGGAATATTTTTTAAAGGACCAACACAACAATAAGCATGGATCTTTAAAAGATACATTTTGAAGGAACAACACAACAATAAGTGTTGATTTATAAAGGATACTTTTTCAAGGACCAACACTTCAATTTTTAAAGAATATGATTTCAAGGCCCTATAAATGTAAATGTTTAAAAAATATTTATTTAATGGACCAGCAAACCTATAAACATGCATTTTTTAAAGGATATTTTTTCAAGGATCAACAGAAATATAAGAGTGGATTTTTAAAGGATACATTTTCAGAACCAAGAAATCAATAAACTTGGATTTTTAAAAAATATTTTTTCTAGGACCAAGAGTCCTATAATCATGGATTTTCAAAGGAATTTTTCAAGGACCAAGAGACCTATAAACTTGGATTTGTAAATGATATTTTTTAAGGACCAATAGACTTATAAACGTGGATTTGTAAAGGATACTTTTTTTTTAAAGGCAAATTGACCCATAAACGTGGATTTTTATAGGAATTTTTTTTTCAAGGATGAACAGATCTATAAACTTGGATTTTTATAGGACATTTTTTCAAGGATGAACGGATTTTTAAAGGATGTATTTTCATAGACCTACACAGCAACAAATGTGGATTTTTGAACGATACTTTTTCAGGGACCAATGGACCTATAAACGTGGATTTTTAAACAATAAATTTTCAGGGACCAACGGAGCGAGAGATATAAGTATTGGAACCTTTTGTGGGGGATGTACTACAAGGAGTGGACTGACATCTAGAATTTTCACACCAGATCTTGTGGTAATAGGGAGAACTCTGTTGATAAAAATAGTTAGATGTGGAAAGTTTGAATCATGCTACATCGACTCCAAATGACCTGAAACGGAGTTGGTACAAAGAAACCTAGGGTCTAAAACCGTTATTTCAATGAGGCACATTTTGGCCGTGTAATATATACCTGCTGTAGCTGAGTGTATAATGAATCCAAAACATAAACATTCAACTGAAATCAGGAAGTACGTTTATATATTTATTTTAATCTACAAAACTAAATACAATTAATTCCGCGTTACATTTTTCCTAATCCTTATATTGGCTATTCCATTCAAAAATTACTTAAAAATCCTCGTTTTTTGGTTAAAGGCCCAGAAAAACCAATTTCTAAAAGTCTACGATTGGTTCTTTGTTAGTCAAATCGTTCTATCGGACAGAAGGTCCTTGAAAAATAATCTTTAAAAATCCACGTCTATTGGCCAGAATGTCCTTGAAAAAATAATCTTTAAAAATCCACGTCTATCGGCCAGAAGGTCATTAAAAAAAAATCCACGTTTAGTGCTCTATGAGTCCTTGAAAAAATATTCTTTAAAAATCCACGTTTAGTGCTCTATGAGTCCTTGAAAAAATATTCTTTAAAAATCCACGTTTAGTGCTCTATGAGTCCTTGAAAAAATATTCTTTAAAAATCCACGTTTATTGGTCTATGGGTCGTTGAAAAAATATTCTTTAACAATCCACGTTTATTGGGCAGAAGGTTCTTGAAAAAATAATCTTTAACAATCCACGTTTATTGGTCTATGGGTCGTTGAAAAAATATTCTTTAAAAATCCACGTTTATTGGTCTATGGGTCGTTGAAAAAATATTCTTTAAAAATCCACGAAAATTGGTCTATGGGTCCTTGAAAAAATATTCTTTAATTATTTTATTCTTTTTCTTGAAAAAATATTCTTTAAAAATCTTTGGTAAAATTGTTGGGAAAATGCACGAAGTTTAGAAGGTCTTTGGAATAGTTTTCATAAAAAAATCTCCGTTGAGAATTCTTAAAATATGGACGTTTGTTGGAAAAATAGTACTTGAACAAATTTTCTACAAAAAATCTCAATTGGTGATCGGAAGGTCCTTGAAAAAATTGTCATAAAAATTCACCGTTAGTGATCAGAATGTTCTCGGAAAAAATCTTAAAAAAATCACGATTTTTACCAACTTTGAGCTTCAGAAATATTCTTAAAAATCTTCGATTATTGATTGGAAAGGGGGACAGTAGAAGTCCCAAAATTGGTCCTCCAGGCTTTTAAAACTCCTAAAATGTCATATATTAATTTAGGCCAAAATGTGATCATCTATCCATGGAATACCTGTGAAGGCCTTGTAATCTCCACTTGAATAACTTCTAATCTCAAATAACTAAAAAATCCAATCGATTGCCTATTAACCGAAGTAGATTGGTTTCCCCTACATAATATTGGTCCCAATTTTTTTTGTGTACATTTCCTCAGATTAAACTGTTTTATTTACAAATGTTATTGTTGGTGGTGATAATAAACAAACAATGTAAACAAATATACGTTTCTTTCAATACTCTACTATGATATGTACTTTATCTGCCGCTTCTGAACTACATATCAAACTATACATGTGCATAACTATGTGTGCGTGTGTGAGAGTGCGCTCTCGCTTCTTTTTATAATGTGAAAATGGTGTAATGAAATGTCAGGCTTTTCAAATAAAATGATTTATGTGATTAGTATATATGACGTGCCATAAATAAATGCATGCAGTGTTTAAAAGGGGAGAAGGGGAAGTGTTAGATTAACCCTCCTCCCCCTATTTTGCCCCACAATCAACAATTATAAACCAAAAAAATAGTGTTTTTTTCCTACCTTTCATGCCCGGCACATGCGAATGCACATGATTCAGAAAATCAACATCGTCCTCATTGCCCAGCAAATTTGGATCCACACTGTGATTATAGGTTAAATTGAGAAGAAACATCACCATCGCAATGACCAAGATATAAAACAGGTGCCGCCGCTTCCAGATGTAGCGTAATTTTTGTGATTTTCGGCCAAATGATGACCTTCGTTGGTCCTGCATTTGGGCCGTCGAGGGTGGTGGGGGCTTTGATGGCACCACATTGCGATTTATGTCTTTTTGTTGGAATTTATTTTTCTTTTTGTTTTTGGCAATGCCATTGATGTTGTTGTTGTTTTTGGTATCATTTGATTCATTTGCCGAATCATCATCTTTGTCTGCCAATAGCGGCTGTAAATCGGACTCCGATAAATCTGTCATGTTGGCATCATGATTTTGTTCAAATCACTTTTTTGTTTTGTTATTTATTTTAGTTGCCCGTCGAAGTGGTCTGCAAAGAAAAATTAGAAAAATAAAAAAAATTAATGCAAGAAGTATTACAAAAATAAGTAAAACAGTATCAGTCGATTTTGCCGACAGATGTACACCTGCCCCTGCCTTGAGTTATGATTATTTAAACTGTATCTTCGTCCGATTTGCCTTTTATTGTGCACCAAACGTGTCATATCAGCCCGAATAGTATGGAATTTTGCACATACAATTAAGTTAGGCCTGAAAATAAGTATGTCAAATTTGATCGAAATCGGTTCAGATATAGCTATAGCTCCCATACATATTGTTCATCCGATTTGTTATATTTGTTACCCACAGCCATAATATGCACTCCGTAACAACGATATTCAGGGAAATATATCTAGTACAGCTCGGAAATATCTTTTCCAAATTTTATCGAGATCGGTTCAGATTTGGATATAGCTCCCATATATCATTATATGATTTAAAATTAATTTTGCACCAAATAAGCAAAACAAGTCCGAATTTAAAAGATACAAATGCTTCGGCATATTTAGTCCTTTGAACTTTAAATTATAATAATAGCGTTTATGATTGAATTCTCCCATAAAAACTTTTAATTGTTATGTGGAGCTCTACTAAATTAGCAAAGTGGCCCCGCCCGTCTTTGGGACTTTCTTTACTGGTTTTAACTCTATTTTTATTATATTCTAATGGGGTTTTCCTGGATGGTATTCAAAGCTTTTAGTGCTTTGTTTACTCATTTCTATTTTTTATACCCTCCACCTTGGAAATGAGGGTATATTAACTTTGTCATTCCGTTTGTAACATCCTTAAATATTCGTCGTAGTCCCCATAAAGTATATATATCCATAGTCAGCATAAAATTCTAAGTCGATTTAACGATGTCCGTCTGTCTGTCCGTCTGCCAGTCTGTCCATCTGTCTGTTGAAATCACGATACAGCCCACATTATTTGACGTAGAACGCCAAAATTTAGCAGAACAATTTGTATTGTGTCTAGGATGGTTGGTATTGAAAATAGTCCACGTTCTGGTATAGTCCCCATATAACGGTTCCTCCCGATATTCGGTATTTTGATTATTTATGCCACATTTTTTCACGGATTTGTCTAAAAATTGGTAGTTGTGGGTCATAATGGGTGCTAGTTCGTGTGGCGAAACATTGTATGTATAGGTCCGCGTTTTGGTTAGCCCCCATATAAGGGTACCTCCCGATATTAGTATTTTAATTTTTTTTGCCACATTTTTTCACGGATTTGTCTAAAAATTGGTATTTGTGGGTCATAATGGGTGCTAATTCGTGTGGCGAAACATTGTATGTATAGGTCCACGTTTTGGTATAGCCCCCATATAAGGGTACCTCCCGATATTCGGTATTTTATTTTTTTTTGACACATTTTTTCTCTGATTTGTCTAAAAATTGGTATTTATGGGTCATAAGGGTGCTAGTTCGTGTGGCGAAACATTTTATGTATAGGTCCACGTTTTGATGTAGTCCCCATATAAAGGTACCTCCCAATATTCGGTATTTTTATGATTTTTGGCACATTTTTTCAAGAATTTCTCTGAAAATTGGTAGTTGTAGATCGTAATGGGTTCCAGTACGTGTGGCGAGTCATTGTAATTATAGGTCCACGTCTTCGTATAGCCCCCATATAACGGTACCTCCCGAAATTCGGTATTTTGATGATTTTAGCGCCATTATTCACCGGAATTGTTTCAAATTTGTTATTTGAGATTCGTAATGGATGCTGCAGCCTATGACAGAAAATTGTCTGTGCAGGTCCACGTCTTCGTATAGCCCTCATATAACGGTACCTCCCAAAATTCGGTATTTTGATGATTTTAGCGTCATTATTCACCAGAGTTGTTTAAAATTACGTATTTGGAGCTCGTTATGAGAACTACAATCTGTGACAGAAAAATGTCTATGCAGGTGCAGGTCTTCGTATAGGCCCCATATATCAGTGCCTCCCTATATCCGGTATTTTGACAATTTTAGGTACAATACCCACCGAAATTGTTTGAGATGTGTGATTTGAAGTTCGTAATGGATGCTACAGCCTGTGACAGATAACTGTCTATGCAGGTCCAGGTCTTCGCACAGCTCCGATATAATGGTACCTCCCTATATACGATATTTTGATGATTTTAGCTACATTATTCACCGTTTATTTCATGTTTCGAATTTGAATATGGTAATGGCTAATGGCAAACAATGCCTATGTAGGTCCACGTCGTATAGACCCCAATGGAGGGCTATATTTGGTATTTTTAAAATTTTAACAGCATTTTTTTAGAATTTTATTTTTTGAAAATTTCCAAATTCGTTCCAAATGGTGGAGTTTATTCAAAGTTTGGCCCGGCCGAACTTACTGCTTTTTAACTTGTTATATTCTAATGTGGTTTTCCTGTAATAATTTGTATGATAGTGCATGGTGTTACCTTTCCCACAGGCTGTTAGCATTTTAAAAAATCTGAAATTTCAGAGCTATTAAATCATCAACTTTATCTCACCTTCCGAACAGGACAAATATTTGGAAAGTGGACTTATCGTGAATATAAATCTCTTTTTTCATTAATTTCCAAATAGGTTATTAATAGCAGCGAGGTGACGATTAGAAACACATATTGCGATAAATTCTACGAAGAAACACCACGCTCCACACAAAAATTCAGCTCAAACATCAAGTTAATTTTTAATATTATCAAACACAAATAAAACACTCAATTTTTAATTAAGGAACACTAAAAATCTATTCAAAAAGAAACATTTTCAAAATTTTTTGTATGACGTTATGTTTTGTTTCTAATTTCTTTAATTCCGTTTTAAATGCCACTCAAAAATCTGTTGGCTGCCACACAAATGGCAATTTAAAACAACCTTCATAGAGTTTACGTTTGTTTATTATTAATTGCACAATGATGTTTTTGGTTACTTTGTTGTTGTTGTTTGATGGATAATTGTTCCATCTTTTGTTCGAAGAACAACAAAAACAAACAAAATGACAAGGAAACACAATGCAATAATAGACGCGTCTACGTCAACCTTTTGGATTATATTTCAATTTTTGTGTTTTTTTTTTATTTCATAGTTCCAACCAACCGACCGACCGATCTATGGAATAACCATCAGACCCGTCGGAATATTTACATACAACATATCTTCATTGTGGACTAGATGGAGTTGGTCCCCCCTCGTAGTATCCGTTCATCCATCTATCCACCCTCAACGAGTTGTGGTCAAACTTGTTTTCATTTTCATTTAAAGGTTTTCTTTATTAATTTTTCTGTTGCTTTTTTTTGTTTAAGAGACACAAATTAAATTCATTTTTGTTTACTAATTTGCCTTTCAAAACAATTTTCGTTATTTGACCGAGGAAAAAAATAAATGCGGAAATTTTTGCACAAAAAATCGTTGCCGGATTATTTTTACCGCCTTCGCTGTTGTTTTTCTATGAGCGTTGCATTTAAGACTAACCATCCCTCCATAGATCAGCCAAAGTATGCGAGAGCGAGAGAGAGAGAAAACGAAAATACCCCAACATAATTCATTAGTTGATGATGACCAATTCGGCACTCTCCCATTTGGTTTTATCTGTTTCTCTCTTACTCTCACTCTCTATTGGGGATTTGTGGGGAGGTTTATGCAACAATACCGTTACTCTGAGATAATCGTCTGTGGCTTTTGTTTATCGGTTTTAGTTGTTGCACTTGTTGTTGTTGTTGTTGGTTCATTAAGATTTAGTAGAGCACTATGTCAAATCGGGTGTATTATGAGTTGTTACATTTGTTGGCTACAACTTTTAGGTTGAAAGACCTTTCACAAGTCAGAGATGGGATGGCATTTAGAGGGTCTTTTGTATACGAAATAATGAATGTTGGTGGGGTCAAGACCCGGGTCAGACGCGGTTTCACCAATATAGACAATATGGGTATCATTTGAAAGCTAATGAAAATACCTATCTTACCAGCGCACATATAATGCAATTATAATAATATATTTTTGGAACCAGTTAAAAACGTCATGGGTTTCCGCAAAATAATCTGTTTCAAGGAACAGTTTACAAGCGAATGTTCATTTTCTAGGGGAAATTATTTCAGGACCTTTTGACAATCTTACATATTTTAAGAATTTTAACAATATTTTACTAGGATCTTCTACCGGGGATTTTGTTTAAATTTTTTTAAGGTGCAACCAGACCAAAAGTCGTGTAAATTTTATGAATTTTATTAGGATTTGGATTTTGTACAATTTTTAAGGATCGTCAAGCCAACACTGAATATATTTGAAAGAAAATTGTTGAAGGAACTTCACGATTTTTTTTAAACTCATTAAAGCATTTTCTTACTAAAATTATGGACTCTTTCAAGAAGTTCTTCTTGACAATCAATGTATATTTTTAGAATATTTTACTTGGATCTTCTACCGGAGATTTTTTTTTTAAATTTTTAGCATTTGGATTTGTACAATTTTTAAGGAACGTCAAGCCAACACTGAAGATATCTAAAAGAAAAATTTTGAACGAACTTCGCGAATTTTTTGGAAAACTAATTCAAGCAGTTCTGGAATCGGGGATTTTTAATTTTTTTTCAAGGTCCTTAAGAATAACAAACGTGTAAATATTAATAATATTTTTTAGGATTTGGATTTCATACAATTTTTTAAGGATCTTCAGGCCAAAACTTGAAATACTTAAAAGAAACCTGTTGAAGGAACTTCGCAAATTTTTTGAAAAACTAATTCAAGCACTTCCTTGATACAGGTCGTGGATTTTTTCAAGGAGCATTGACATCGATTTTTGTGAATAATTTTTGAAGCATCTGTTGAGCAGCAAAAGCAATTTTAAGGGGAAAATTTTGAAGGACCTTCAGACCCACAATCTGTTGTATTTTAAGAATATTTTCTATCCTTCTGTCCTGGATTTTGTTTTTTTTTTTTGTCGAAGACACTATACAGTGTGAGTTGAAAAAACTGCAACCAACTTCAGACTGCTGTTATTTCTAAGCCACTCGTCCGACAACTGTTTAATTATTTTAATTATTCCACTAACAGCTCATTATATTATTTACAAGCCTACAAAAGCATTTTGGTGAGAATTTTCCAGAAAAAAAGTTATTCGTTGTGGAATTCAAGCGGGATAGTATGATTCGAAACCCGAATTTAGTTTTCTCCGATGAAAAAACATTCCTTGTCCAGCAGTTTGTAAACAAACAAAATGATGTGGTTACTTGCCAAAGAGGTCAGCCGAAAATGTGCACATTCGGTTGGCCACCAGAACTCAAGCGCCAATCATGGTGATAGTGTGGGCCGCGATAACAGCCGATTATCGCTCTCCGCTCGTATTAATCGACCAAAAACAAGTTAAAGGTATCATTCGATTTTGCCAACAGCTGTATACCCTTAGCCAATGTTCGATTATTTAAATATTATTAAAAAAGTTTACCCTCTATGGAGGGTTAATAAATTGACAATTGTGACCCTTTCTTGGTGGAGCACCAGAGCGGTATGTGAACCCTACATGGGGGAGGTACCAGAAGAAATAGTCCGATCTCTACCATTTTTATAACAGATCTTGTGTTGATAAAAATATAGAGATGTTCTAAGTCTAATGAAATCGGATGTTAATTTCACATTTTATTGGCTTCATGGATATTCAAAATGTTGACCCTTTGTGAGGGAGATACCAGAAGGAATGTTCCGATCTCTATCGTGTATATAACAGATTCTTTTGTTGATAGAAATATTCAGATATGCCAATTTTAAAGGGAATCTGATGTTAATTTCGCATTTTATGAGCTCCATAGATATTCAAAATTTTGACCCTTTGGAGGGGGGGGGGGGGAGTGGGTGTACCAGTAGGAGTGGAAAGATATATTCCATCTTCACATCAGATCTTGTATTGCCAGAAATAATGAGATGTATGAAATATGAAGAGAACCTAATGTTTTTTTTTCGGATTTTATAAACGTTTTGGTTATTCAAGATTTTGACTCTTTGTGTGGGGAGGTACCAGAAGGAATGGTCCGATCTATACCGTCTTTATAACAGATACTGTGTTGATAGAAATATTCAGATGTGCCAAGTCTAAATGGAATCGGAAGTTAATTTCAAGTTTTAAGAGCCTAATGGATATTCTAAATTTCGACCTTTTGTGGGGGAGATACCAGAAGAATGGGCCGATATATTCCATTTTAACACGATATCTTGGGTTAATAAAAATATGTGTATGTGTGTAATTTGAAGATAACCGTTACATTTTATAAGATTTGTAAATATTCAAAATATTGACCCTTTGTGGGGGGAGGTACTTGATGGAGTGAAACGGTATTGTCCATTTTCGCAGCTGACCTAGCACTGACGCAAATATTACGATTTACAAAGTTGGAGTAGAATCGGATTTTCGTCTCTTCCTGTCCAGAAAATATATTTTTGAAAATTTCGACTTTTTGTGGGGGAGGTATCAGATGGAGTGAATCGATATTGCCCATCTCCAAACTCGATCTAAGTTTGGCAAAAATATTAGAAAGTATCAAGTTTGGACCAAATCGGATACTGCCTTCGAGAGTTATCGTGTGCACCAGCCAGCCAGACAGACGGACATCACTAGACCGACTCCAAATGTCCTGGAACGGATTTGGTCCAAAGAGACCTAGGGTCGAAAACCGTTATTTCGACTAGGTAAGTTTTGGCCATATCAAATGATATATACCCTCTCTAGCCATATGGCTGAGGATATAATTACATTCTGAAGGTCATTTGCCCATGGAAAAACTCCTGGATTTCGAATGGGAGCAGATCTTTGCGTACCCAAGTATAGGGTACCTCTTGAGTGCTTCCTCTGCTCACAGCCCCAGAACGCTAGTTATACCTTCCACCTTGGAAAGTAGGGTATATTAACTTTGTCATTCCGTTTGTAACATACATAAATGTGCGTCGTAGACCCCATAAGGTATATTTATTCATAATCAGGATAAAATTCTAAGTCGATTTAACGATTTCTGTCTGCTCTCTGTCTGTCCGTCTGTCTGTTGAAATCACGATACAGTCCACATTATTTGACGTAGAGCGCCAAAATTTAGCAGAGCAATTTGTATTGTGTCTTGGATGGTTGGTATTGAAAATGAGATATATCGGTCCACGTTCTCGTATTCGGTATTTTGATTATTTATCCCTCTTTTTTTTTCACGGATTTGTCTAAAAATTGGTATTTACAAGTCATAACGTGTCCCAGTTCGTGTGGCAAAATATTGCATGTATAGGTCCACGCTTTGGTATAGTACCCATATAACGGTACCTCCCGGTATTCGGTATTTTGATTATTTTTTCCACATTTTTTCACAGATTTGTCTAAAAATTGGTATTTGTTGGTCATAATGGGTTCTAGCTCCTTTGGGGAAACATTGCATGTATAGGTCCACGATTTGGTATAGTACCCATATAACGGTACATCCCGATATTCGGTAATTTGTTAATTATTGCCACATTTTTTCACGGATTTGTCTGAAAATTGGTATTTGCAGGTCATAATGGGTTCTAGCTCCGGTGGCGAAACATTGCATGTATGGGCCCATGATTTGGTATAGCCCCCACATAACGGTACCTCCCGATATTCGGTATTTTGATGGTTTTTCCCACATTTTTTCACAGATTTGTCTAAAAATTGGTATTTGTTGGTCATAATGGGTTCCAGCTGCGGTGGCGAAACATTGCATGTAAGCGTTCACGTTTTGGTATAGTACCCATATAACGGTACCTTCCGATATTCGGTAATTTGATAATTTTTGCCACATTTTTTCACGGATTTCTCTAGAAATTGGTATTTGTAGGCCATAATGGGTCCTAGTTCGTGTGGCGAAACATTGTATGTATAGGTCCACGTTTTGGTATAGTCCCCATATAACGGTACCTCCCGATATTCGGTACTGTGATGATTTTTGACACATTTTTTCACGAATTTCTCTGAAAATTGATAGTTGTAGGTCATAATTGGTTCTAGCTCCTTTGGCGAAACATTGCATGTATAGGTCCACGATTTGGTATAGCCCCTATATAACGGTACCTCTCTATATTCGGTATTTTAATGGTTTTTGCCACATTTCTTCGCGGATTTGTCTGAAAATTGGAATTTGTTGGTTTTAATGGGCTCCGTAGGCGAAACACTGTATGTATAGGTCCATGTTTTCGTATAGACCCATATAGCTGTATATCCCGATATTCGGTATTTTGATGATTTTTGGCACATTTTCCCATGAATATGTCTAAAATTTGGAATATGTGGGTCATAATGGTCCCTAGTGTTTCCTTTATCCTAAGGTGGAGGGTATTAAAAGTTTGGCCCGGTCGAAGTTAATGTTTTTTACTTGTTTTCATTCTTTATTGATTAAGATTTGTTTATGTCTTGCCCAGATGCAAATACACACGTACATACATACATACACATGTATGTGTGTATAATTGTCGAGGGTCTTTGCTCGAGCA